GATGCTCTTTTTCGCAGAAACAATAGCACTGGAATGAAAAATTTACACACTGTCATAAAGTCATAGCACTTTATGGAGAATAAGCCTTAGACATGTGGGTGGGGGTATTTTCTTTCCTTAACCCATTCCCTGCCATGATCCCCATATGGGGATCGCTTATATTTGTATACACTGTAACGTCATGCTGCACCTGCGTGGTCCCTTACGGGTGGTCATGCTTTCTTGAAGATTGCAACTAAGGGTAGAAATCTTAAACAAACACTTGGACTCAGTTAGTTGAGCTCACGAGTTTATTTTTCTTGCTCTCTCATTACTCTCATTACTTTTCACGAAAAAATAATACAGTTATTTTCAAAGCATAAAAAAGTTACTTAGGAACAATCATTTTTGTTGTACTGAATTTCCCTTGATCATTGGTAAGTAATTAATGTATTTATATATGATTTATGCCTCATACTGTAATTTTGGATTGGGTACAATGAACCTAGATATATCGAATCCCCATTTGGGGATCATGGCTGATACTGACTAAAATTGTAAAAAAAAAACTTTTTTTCTTTTTTTTCCAAGAAATGTCGCGTAAAAGATATCTTTTTTTTAAAAGAAATAGAAGAAATTGTAAATTCTGATGATTTTTTTTGCATCTGAACGATGACGACGATAATAGCCCCATAGATATTGTTGAAATTCCACCAGAGCAGGGTTGATGAGATTTCAGATAATGAGGACATGGATGACAACGTAATTGATGATGAAGAACCACTTGATGTTCCCGGGTGTGTTGAAAATTCACCGTGTGGCAGGATTTGAGGAAAATGTTTTAGTGAATGCAACTGAATCTTCAGCAAATGAAAGTAACAAAAGGTACCGGCTTACCACTCTGCTAAAAAGAGAAAAGAAGTATTTATTGACTTCCAATTGGAAAAAAGAAGCAACCTATATGTACTCGAAACTATATGAAAATTCTGGCGTTATAGAGACAAGGCGAAATGATGTCATTAGAAAACTCAGGGAAAAATCCCTGGTAGAGTATTTTGAAATACATTTTGATAATGAAACCGTCACCTATATTGTCCAGCAGTCTGTAATATACGCCAGACAGGAAAACAGTCATCAATTTCAGCTTTCTAATAACTGCCTAAAAAATGTATTGGAATACTTCTTTTCACTGGCTATCAATCACTTCTGCAAGAACAATCATATTGGTGTGAATGTGAAGACATGAACATTCCGTGTGTTAGAGCATGCATGAGTCGAAATAGGTATCTGGAAATTAAACGGTACCTACATATCAGTGACAACTCCGATGTAGAAAGGATTCCACTAGGTGAACGTGATAACCTCTTCAAGACTTCGCCCATTGACTGACAAGCTGAATGACAAATTTCAACAATTTGGGGTCTTTTCTGAAAGTTTGAGCATTGACGAACAAATGGTTCATTACTATGGACATCACTACCTCAAACAATTTATACGTGGTAAGCCAGTGCGGTTTGGGTTCAAACAATGGGCTATCTGTTGGTTCACAGAACTGGATATTGTTTATCAGACTCAAGTGTATGAAGGCAAATCAAAGAAATTAGGAGATGATGAAAGCATTCAGTTGGGCTTGGGAACATCTGTTGTCCCTTCAGATGGTATCTATTCTTCAGACACCAAATGCTCATAAAGATTTACTCTCGACACATTTTTTCACGTGATTTTCTCTGATGAAACAATTTGCAGGACGTTGACGTTAGAGCAACAAGGAACTGTTCGGTTCAACAGAATGAACAACTGCCCTATTGCAACAGACAAAGAGATAGGGACAAAAAGAAGCGGGACATATGACTACAGATTTGATTCCCGTAATGAAATTTTAGCTGTCACGTGGAATGACAACAGTTGTGTAAGGCTTCTGTCTAATCATGAAACTATCGAACCAATATCAGAAGGTGAAGCGACGGAGTACAACAGAGAAGAAAGATATTCAAGTACCACAACCCAAACTGATATCAGAATATAACAAATACATGGGTGGAGTAGAACAAGATTGGAATTGGAATGCTCAAAAATACAGAATCAGAAAAAGGTGGGAAAATTTTCCTTTGCTTAGTAATGCCATCGACGTAACACTGGTTAACCACCACGCATTGTATTATATTTCAAATGATAAAATTCCATTGCTAGATTTTAGGAAGATGGTTACTAGAGGATATCTTGCTATATCTTCAGAACTCTCAGATGCAAAAAAGGGTGGAAGGACTTCTTTCACTAAAGCATCAATTAATCGTGTTCCTACTGTTATCAGAACATCTGGTAATCATTATATTGAACGGACCGAATATGGATAAACAAAGGAAAATGTGCAGTGTGCAAAACAAATGCAAGAAAACAAATGTGGAAAATGTAATGATTGAATTACACGTAGACTGTTTTGAAAGCTGGCATTAAAAGTAGATTGTATCAGCCATGATCCCCATTTGGGGATCGGACATTAAATTTAAAATTTCTGAAAAAAAAAAATGACGCATTTATTGAGAAAAACATGTTTTTCTTATTTTTTAGATGTAAACTGTGAGACAATAAATAAAAATTGATGAAATAAAAATTTGGCAGTTAATGGGTTAAAAGTCTCCACATCCATTCAAGGCTTTGTTTCCCAAGGAAAGAGAGGCATGCATTTAGAAACGAGGATACATTTTTAATAAATTTTTTTTAAATAAAATTAAACTTTCCAGATCTAATTTCTGCTGAAGTTGTTGTTCAGTTGCATTAAGAACTGCCACAGCCTTCTTATTTAGGGCTCCAATGCATTCCGATTAGAATTACGATTTATCCAAAAAACTAAGTACTGGAACCAGGCTACAGCACAATTTAAGCTGTGACCTTAAAGCTTCATATATGTATTTTTCTCCTTAAGTAATATATATATTTCAGAAAAAATTCATAAATAAGAAAATCAATAAAAAAATTTAGTGTGTATGAACCAATAACACCCAAACCGAAAACAGAAAAAAGTACTCCATTTTGACAGTTGATGGAAAAAAGTATCATTCCATCAACTGTCAAAATTGGCAATAATAAAAGTTAACAGACTGTGGTGAGGAAGATCCTGATACCATAGCACTTATCGTTCTTCTGGAATTCTCAAGGAACTTGTGTTTCTTTATTTAATAAGCAATCAGTATTTAACTGACTTCATTTTTTGTACTTCTTAAAAAGGTTTTTGATTTCTATAAAACATTACGAGCAAAAACTTCTGGCAAGTAATCGTTCCAATACATTTTTGTTTTGTTAGCCATATTCAGCTGACCATACTGTGTCCTTTAAAATACAATTTTTTGATGACAGGACACCATGACTTTGAAAATAATCCACTGCTTGCTGTTCTATAGAAGGCAAGTCTCAAATTTTAATCATTTTCAAAATGCAAGAAAAATATAACAATAACTGTTAATTTATATCTTTTATAAAAACTAAACACGGATTATCGAGAATCAATCAGGGCTACATTATACAAAAGTACAGATGTTATAAGTGTGTTGCTATGCCATACTTATCCATAACCGGTACTAAATTATGCTCCTCAGCAACACTTTCATGGCTGACAGGATAAAAAGCCAGTACCAAAAAAAACTATACAAACAAAACTAAAATAAAGTAGCTTTACATTTTCATTAATTTAAAACAATTTTAATGAACACTTATTTTTTTCAGAGAAGATTTGAATTTATATCACAATATCAAAGTGGACTGGTATTTTATAAGACATTTCTCAAATGAATTTCTAAACCTCCAATTTAAAAAAATTTTGCAGTCCACATGAGTTCATTAAATCAAAAATCTATCAGACATAAAACTTGCATGCTACTTAGGATAAAAGGCTTAGCTTTATTCCATTGAGTACTTTTTTATCTACTCACATTTAAATTTTCAGTCACTTTTGCCATTTAATTATGTCATTCTCCAGACATATATATATAAACATATATGTTTAATTAGTAGAAATGATTAACAACTTTTATATAATAATAATTGAAGTTTGAATGTTTCATTAGTTGACCCTAACAAAACTTGCAAGGGCTATCTGCTTTAGAAATGTTTTCATAAAGCACCATCTGTTCTAAGAAAGCTGGTTAATATTTATATTATATAAAATAAAAATCATTAAAATCACATTTAGCCCCCAAGGAACAGATTTCACTAAAGCAAAGAAATCAGAAGTTAATGCCATACTGCAATAATCCTATGGTTATTTTGGGCTCCTGCTTTAGCAGTACTTCCCAGACTTTCAAAGAATTTCAGGGTAAAGTGCAGAACTGCCCACTTATTTGATTGGTGTTTGCTTGGTGCTTTTTACAAGAGTAAGAAAAATTAGATTTTTGTCAATTTTCTTTGACTTTTTAAGAGAAAATAGGTCGATACATGGATAAAGGGAGTGTACATTGACATTTTTGTGTAATTCTGGGATGTTTTTTCAAGTGAAAATAGGTCGATACGTACATGGATACCAAGTTTGTGCAATTCTTAAAAACATGTCAAGCAACGGGTGATTGTGCCCTTTCTCCTAATTTCATAAAGATGCCTGTGACTAAAAAATCCTGAATATTCATAGTTTCACCAATTCCTGAGTAATGTAAAATACAGATATAACACAAAATGAGATGCTTGACAATATGGAGTTCTCAGGTGAAATTGTAAAAGATAATTTTATATGAATCTGAATACTATGATTAGATACAAGTTCTTTTCAACTAAAATTAGTGTTCTGTAGTTTAGCATAGTTACTATACTATTCTTAAGGTGTTCTTATCCTTATCACATGTTAATGAGAATATTTTTAAAATATTAAGCATGTATGTCAAAGTTACAGCTTTGAGTTTTATCTGCAAAATCCTTTGATTAGCAATATAGCCAAAATTGCACTCTACTTTAAAAATGGTTTAAAACACATTTCGCCTATAGAATTATGATCACAGAGCATGTAGTTATTTTATTGCTACATTTTGTCAATTTACCTTTTGCCAAGTGTCCTCAAATGTTTCAACACCTTCAGATACTTTCTTCAGGCATCTCTCAATTTCTCCTAAGAGAAAAAAAATAATAACTTATATGACACAATCCCATTAAAAAACATGAAATTTTACAGAAAAACCATAATGTATAAACAAGTGAAATAGTACTTTTTCATTACAAAAAATGCATAAAGTATAAATTTCCTACATTTGTAAAATACTACAAAACAATCATACAGCATGCATTTTCATTTTGCATAAAATTTAATTTAAAATACCTTAAACATCTGCACAAGAATACATTTATTTATTTTAATCACTAATTTATGTTCTTGTATTAAAAAAAAAAATTTACCAATTCAAATAAATGTATTCTTGTGCATTTTGCAGTCCGCAATTTTTTATTATTCTCTCGATTATGAAGAATAATCACAAAAATTTGTTTTTACAACTTAAGTTTTTTTCAAATAATTAATGGTGATTTGTGCTCTTGTTAGACTGTCCCTAAGAAAATTTATTCTTAAAAGGTACACGCCAGCAACTTTCACTAAAACTCTATTTAATGTCATGTGGACTTTAAAATAAGTGCTACTAACCTTGAAGTTTCCTTCTATCAGCCATAACTACAAAATAACAACGTAAAGTATTTGAATCATAATAAAATGTTATTATTATGGTATCCAACTTGGCAAACGTCAAGAGTAGATCCAAAGAAATCTTGAGATTTCGCTTCACTTTTAAAATAATTATAATTGCCCGAAAGAATTTAAAAACACTACGATATTAGAGACACATAAACTATATGTTAAAAATCATTCAGAAGTTAGACTAAGAGAGAAATTTACACATAAAACTGAATTTTTACTATTCCCCGTAATTCAAAATAATTCGCTAAACATATCTCCGTATCACAGCTTAGAAGTTCTGAACTATATTTACAGACACGCGCGATTTGTCCCCAATCGATTGTATATTTGAGAAACTTATTGATCCACTGTAAACTTCCATTCATGTTATTTACAATTTTTCCCAGGAATTAGAATTTTCTTTTCTTTCCATATCCTTTGGGAATTTAAAATAAATAATAATCCAATAATATTTCAGTGACATCGTGCTACTGCTCAAATATCAACAATATCATACGAACGTATATTTTGAACTGCATATAATTTTTATCCAGAATCTATATTTTAATAGGCTACATTAATCTTTCTTAGCTATTTATAATGACATAACTGAAGCATAATACTGACGAGTCAGAAGCTGATAAAAATACTTTAAAATGAAGGAAGTGACTGCAGGGCTATCGATGGTTCTGTCTTATTTCAGTCTAATACAATGCGAAATCTAAGTCCATAAATCCATAAGTGTAAAATCCATAAGTCCATACAGAATAGATGTGACCAAGAAAGAAACTCGTGAGTGGTCTTGTAACTCATTAATCGTAAAAAGAATGGTAGCCGAGCTTTAGATTTGCCTTTTACAATAGAGACAGAGCAGAATAGGATCATCTTTCTAAAACTACGAATTTCTGCGTAGTGAAGACAAATTGCGAAGCAGAAATGAGCTCAGAAAATGCAACAATCTAGGTATACCTTTTTTCTGTCACATGTTATTCGCGAGAAACATCTAAGTTGAGCAAAAGGTCAGTTGACGACAAAGATCGTACTTTGTTCAAGAAGAACAATGTAGAAGGAGGTGTGTGAGATAAATTGGGTCTTTGGTACAGATCACATCGGTACAAAGCGCAAGCAGTAAACTCTGAGTTTCAACTAAAGCCCGTTTGCATTAGCAGGATTTTTTTAGTACAAGAAACCCAAGGGTACCACAGAACTCGTATTTGAGCAAACGGTAGCGCAAACTTTGCATTTAAGCAACCATAGCATACTGCAAGCATAGGCAAAAATTCGTTCTCGCGATTGACCACAACACAGATTATGTTTGAACGCTAAATAATACGGAGACATTTACATACGGTGTTTTCTTGGATTCCTTACGACAGATGAAAGAACCTTACAGGCATATTTTTGCAAACGAGCTCATTCCTCGAAAATCTCACCCTCACTCCCCAAAAGAAGTGAAAATAAGAAACGCAAACGTCTCTCAGTCTGCTTTTTAACATTTTTCTGTTTAAATCTGAATGTCATTCGGATTCAGCTTCTGATTTTCTGAACTATAACAATTTTAACTGCCTCTTCTTTTTTTTTTTTTTTTTTTTTTTTTTTTTTTTTCAGATTTCAAAATTTTACTTGAAATAAATATATACAGAGATTGTAACACCCAAACGATGTCGAGCTAGAACCAACGTTTTGTTGTTTATTTCTGACGCTGCTGTTATAGTCTTTACTTTTTGCCATTTATAATAAAGAACAGTAGTTTTTTATTTGTTTTCTGTAGACAGTTTAGATTTATTTCATTTTTCCTACTCTTAAAATTGATAAAAGCCTCTAAAAGAGTTATCTGGTTGAAAGCCGTTAAGCACCCAAAAGTATGAATCATTTTTTTAATCTTAAGTGAAACAGTGGAAACAATACAGGCACAACTTCTTCAGCTATACGTATATGTCAAAATATGTCATCTAATGATTATGAGGCTAAATCCAGTAAAATTCCTGAACTTTCTCAAGAAAATAGCCGCCGCATGCATGAATTATAAGATCGAGATACAACTAAAATGCGGTTTAAGGCTTAGTTTTAAGTAATAATGTCACATTAACAGCTGGGAATACTGGGAATGTTGAAAGCAAATGTAGAAACTCAACTAAAATAAATGTCAGTTACAATGATCCTGCATATTGGCCAGATGAAGTATCAATAAATGAAAGATCCTTATGAATTGGTAATATGACCATTTATCGCAAATTTCAGGTCTGCGTCCCGGAGTCAAGAGATTCGTCAAAATAATTTAGTTCCAGATAAGGATCGTATTACATTTGAAGCCCTGAGTTAGCAGCATTGGGGGTATAATGATATATACGAAGCGTAGTTTTATGGGTCGGGAGTGACATATCAGCAACTGTGGTACCAGTAATGTGCCCTCGACGAAAATGGCATATAACTTTTCAACCGACCACCAAACTGACTCGGCTTATGTTGCTGCTGTTCATCAACCACGTAGTCTTAATAAACAGCTGAACACAACTATTAAGTCTCTTACATAGTTCCACATCTGAACTTGCGATGTGATATAGGTTTGTGTCGACATGGTCGTAAGAGACCGGCGAACGACAGAGGAGACTAATGGGGCTATCGCATCTAATGACTCACGAAGCTAAAAGAAACTATTCCGAAGAACCAGCCTCTCCTTCTCCAACCATTGGATGTTTCCCAGCTGAAACATATTTCATACAAACCTGTTTCCCAGCTAGCTACATTGGACGTTTTGAAGCTGAACTGAAAATACTTCGCTCTTTGTACGATTTCTCACAAGAACTGAATGTTAACCGCTAAATTCAACCAAGTAGACATTCCGAAAACTTAAATTATGAGAAATGTTTCTTTCAATGCCATGTTGATGGTAGCTTGAAGATGTGAGACAGGTTTAACGGTTCTTCATTCTCTCATGAGCTCTCGGACTACGTACACATTCATTGTTATTTTTCCATGCCATTTACGACATCAACGGCCGACCGCATCGCCTGCGCTCTCCCGATATGAACTAATGAATACTTCAAGTGTTACGACCTTCTAGTTTGAGTATCTCATCAACAAAATTTAGTGCTACCGGTATTTTTAGAGGCCATAAAAACAAACCTCTACAGTTAAGGTACAATACTTTCCTTTTTCAGTACAATTACTAAAATTTCCTAAATTTAATTTTTTCACAATCCTTCCAAATGGCAGGCAATAATGCAGTGAACATTAGATCAATTTTGAACACTGCATTTGATGCAGTCAACATTTTAAGGATTCCAAGCGTGTTGGACGCATTTGGGTTTACTGCTCAATTTTCTACAAACTGACCCAGTCTCGTAGGCGGTCAGTGAGTTTACTGAATATCTTTTAGACTTCGGCGAGTGATCCCTTAGAGTATCACGCCCAGCATGTCCTTTTTTAGGGCAGTAAATACGGATGATGAAGCTAGTGACTGCATGGATTCTGGATTTGTCCCTGCCATCTACTTCAAAACGTGAGGAATTCTTGAAGGATCCCAGACTCAGGAAAAAAGCGAAAACAAAAAAGGAGAATGCGAATTCAGAGAAGGAAATTAAGAATGCAGAAAGAGCCAGAGAAGAAAAAATACAGGAACTTATCCAGGAGTTCGGAGCTGATTATCTGACACAACACTTGGAACTCGAGCAACGATTAAAGGAAGCAAAAACCCCCGAAGAGCAGAACAAACTTGTGTTGGAACATGCAAGGAAAACTAACCAACTCGTCAGTCAGAGGCAGCGAACGGAGCAAATCGCCACAATCCTGGATAATGAAAGTTCCTGGATTACCCCAAAGAAGACTGCGAAAATTCAAGAAAAGGCGATTCCAACGGCGATACCACAAGAGAGCCGTTTTCAGTTACTCAGGAAAATCGCAGAGGAAAACCCCGAAGGAGAAGCCAACGCTGATAACCCGCCCCTACCCATTGTATTTTCACAAGATGAAATCGATTGGATGAAACGTTCTCGTCGCTAGATTGTACAGATCTCCACGAATCCCAAATGAGAGGAAAATCCATCTTCGTATACACTAAGAACATAAAAGATTACAGTACAATGAATGAACTCCTACTTGAAAAAATGTTTCCCTATCACGCCTACCAGTTAGAATTCGAAAAACCGATTTGGGTCATTATGAAGAACCTCCCCGCTACTATCAAAGAAGACGCCATACACCGAGACCTTAAACTCAGGAATTATCCTATCGAAAAAGCCGAGCAGTTTTCCAAAAATCACGAAGGACAAAAAATTAAACTTCCCATCTACCTACTGGAACTAAAAAGGTCACTTGAAGGAAATAAGATTCAGCAGCTCAATAATATGTTCAGTTTCAACGTCCCCATTGAAAAATTCAACCCCAAGAAAAGGCCAGTCCAGTGCTACCGCTGCCAACAATTCGGACATTCTCAATTCTGTTGCAGTAATCTCATTAGATGTGTGAAATGCGGGCAACAACATCGAAGTAATCAATGCACCATGAAACCCAAAGATAAGCCAAAATATATTTTCTGCGGACTCTGTCACTTGAGTATAGCTTAAGAGGTTGCCAAGAGTATAAGAAAAGATTTGAAAAGAAAAGCAGCCCAACCTAGCCTTAAGTTCCCGAACTCTCTGAGAAAAACTTTCCTAGCTCAAAGACTGCCTCGATCCCAGCGCAGATCAAGTCACCTTCAAGCCATTTACAGTGAGAAATTGAAAGGAAAAATCCCCCTGCCACCGAATGACATAAACGATGCTATTAAATAGATTCAAGATGAAAAAAAATTAATGCTTTCCTAATTTCGACCATCTCATGCATTGGTAAAATCAGAGCAGCAAAGAATCCAGCAGAAAAATTACAAACAGGCTTTCAAGCAGCTATGTTACTTATTAATTTTACTGAGTCTGAAGATTAGAAAAGATTTAACACTCCCTCTATGACGGACCAATAGGAACACAGGAAATTCACGTAGCTATTTTCAGAACTTATTTTTTCAATTTTCCCCATTCTACCTTCTCCAACCAGTGCAGTTTTGCTGTCTGTTAGTCGGAGTACCTCCTGAAGGTATTGTACGCAAGGCTCATCTCATCGCAACATCGAGAATCCTATTTCTAGAATGTTCAAACAACATTCCCTAATGTTATAGTAGGAAAGTTATGTCATTTCTCCATGCGTTACACATACAGGATGTGGCTTTTAGCCTAGGCGCCTGTTCTCCATGTGCTTCATATGGTAACTGATGTCAGAAGAAAAACTGCACATGGAAATAAAACTCATTTATTATAAATTCACGAGATGCTCTGTTAATAATGTAATAATGACAATTGACAAAATTAATATGGAATTTATAGAAACAGTTGTTCTCGCTATGTGGGGGTCTTGCTAGTGGCAAGAGTCTTAGAAGAGCCTTCCGAGTGCTTCTCTGTCTGCAACAGTTTGCAGACTGAATTAATCATGCCATTTGTTTCGCTTGTGATTTATGTCATCTGATTCGTCATAGTCAAAGGCAATATTAGAAGAGCTACAGATCACTGATCTATTAGCCCCCTGAAATCAAGAGGCTTTGGTGACACAGACTGCTAAACTTTGATACCAAGTGGCGACATCATTGAAAAATTATTGCTTTTGCAATGTCAGAGCATGTCCTTGCACACCTTGAAGAAGTGATTTGTGAAGGTACCACACACATAAATTTCTTATCTCGGAGTGATTCACCACATAGTTCATCTCCAGTATCATCATGATGATACACAAAAATCAGGGAAATGAAAGTCTGCCAGAGCAAGTCTAACAAATACTTTGTTTGGATGATGATTTGTAGATGTAGGCTATGAAGTATCAAAAGAGAGAGTATTTATGCCTATATTAGACCTGATGGTGGTTTCATATGGACATTTTAGACTGATGGTATTTTTCCATAAATGGATAATTTGGAAACTTTTGCATCATGTTTGAGCACTTGACAAACCATTATAATGTGGTTATAGTGGCCATTGTATTGTGTCGCACAAATATGTGTGGATGCGTTTCCAAATCTTTGCGAATAAACATTGCTTTTTTTCATGTGATCCAAATGGTTTTAGTTTAAGCTATTGCATGCAGCTTTCAAGTTGTTTGATGTATCCAGCAGAATCAGTATCAGAATTCGAAGTGCCAAAAAATTCACTTGGTCACACGTTTAGTGCAAGTGCAACTGATCTTTCTTTGACAGTTGTTCTCAGACCAAGCAGCCCAGTTGGTAAAAGTTCTGACCATTTTATAGTTTCATGACACATTAATGCAGATTTTAGATGGTAAAATCCTCAATTAAGCCATTACTTTGAGGATGATAGATAAGCAATTGTGCATATTCACTGCACACCTAAAAGTTTTGTTACAGCCTTAAATGAAGAAGGCTTGAATTGACAATCTTGTATCAGTTGTGATAGTAGCTGGAATACCAAAGTGAGATACCGTTTATGTAGAAATCTTCTGCTACTGTTGAAGCTTGAATATCGATGATGGGGATAACTTCACTTCATCCAGCAAATTAGTTAAGGTGGAAAGGGGCCCGTATAAATATGTTGAAATCAAACAGAAGTTGCACTATGATTGTGAAGGAGCTTAAGTGTGTTTGTGCATTTTAACACAAAATACACTGCCTTGGCTAGTCCATAACATCTGTTGATATTTGATCACACATATCAGCTATAGACTAATTTCAATGTGAATGAGCTAAATCATATGTGCAATTAAAAATCAGTTTTCAGAATACCTTGGGAATATAATAAAAGTCTTGGTAGTCCAGTAGAAATATCACAATATAATTCCATTTTTGAATCTCGTCGCTTAACTCTTTCTTATTTGTAAAGAACTGTTAGTACTCAATATTTCTTTTAACTCATTATCTGCTGTTTATGCCTTAGCAAATTCTTCATAATCAATAGGTCAATAATTTCAATTTCATGAATGTCGGATAATGTGTTAGGAACAACATTATCGATTCCTTTAAAGTATCAGTCGCAAATTGCGAAATAAAGTATAAATGACGATTTTGATGTGGGAAGAATTTTTAAGTTTATGTTTGAAAGCAAATATTAATGGTTTATGATTGGTAAGCATTGTAAATTTGTGTCCTTTTAGCATTATTTTAATTTCTGAATGGATGCACATATTGCTAATAATTCCCTATTGTACGCACTGTATTTTTGCTTAGTGTTTATGAGCTTTCTAAAAAAAAGGGCTAAGAGGTTTGAGCTTGTGGTTAACAGCTTCATTTAGAGATTCACCAACAGCATAGTCAGATGCATCAACTTGAAGAATGAGAGATACACTTGGCAAAGCATGTGTTAATAATGTAGGATTTGCTATATGTTGTTTAGAAGTTTTGAAAGCTTCACTTGTTTGAATGGAACACAGTATTGTGCATTTGTCATTCTTTATTTAACCTTTTAAACATTCGCCAAGTAGTGCTTGGTTATAAGTTGCATGTTGCAGTAAACATAAAAACTTCTGAAGTCTTTAAATTCTGTTCTTTTGAATTTCATCATTGCATCTACTCTTTCAAGTAAAAGTTTACTTCCATTTTTGGTATTAAAAGGCTTACGAATTCTATTTCAGGAACACGTAAAACCCATTTTGAAGTATTTAATTTCAGACCATATTAGTTTAGTTTATGTAAAACTTTTGAAATCTGTCATTTATGGAGTACTTAATTTTTTCAGAATATTAGAATGTCATATAAGTATGCGTTAACTTAAATCTAATGCTCACAACACTTCATGCATGAAATGCTGGAACATACAAGTGCCATTTTTGAGTCCTAAATTTAAAAACACTAAAAAGGGTAATTACTGATATTTTAGACATGTATATCATTTGTGCAATATTTAATTTATAAAACACTGTTTTTTCATGAAGAGATTCGGCAAAATCCTGTATGGGTGGAACAGGATACAAATTCATGACACCTATGACTGAATTCAGTGCTCTGTAATTTGCATCTGATCTAATGCTAGCAGATTTTTTTTATGGATTATGTGTTTAAGTGACGACCAATTAGTTTTAGAGAATTGATGCCCTGCTCTAAAGTACATTCTAATTCCTTTTTTGCATTATCATAAACTTCGGATAGAAGTCATCTTGCTTTGGAGTAGACTGGTTGTGTTTAGTTTTGATGTAATGAATTGTGTCATGAAAGCAGAAGTGAAACATAAAATTAGTAACACAAGATCTTGACATACATCTACACAAAACACAAGGTTGCTGTGCTACTAATTTTATGAACTGTGTCCTGTTTGATTGATTTGTTGTGTATAGTAATAGTTAGTTTACATAATGGTCTAAATGTTTTGTGATATTCAGAACATTCAGAAACAGCCTTGACATTCAGCGGAGTGCAGTGCTCTAATTCACTTGCATTTAATTTTAGACCAGGATTTGTCAACAAGAGGATGATTCTTTTTTTTTTTTCATAAGTTGACTAGTGCCACAGTGAGTGAAAATGTCAACTGCTATTATGGGAACTGTAACATCAGGGATTATGAAATCACTTTTAAAATTTCCTTTGAGGTAGTTAAATTCATTGGTTTACTGCCACAAGTTTTAATTTTAATATTATTTGTGGTAAATAGCTCTAAAGCAGTAGTGCTAATTTGTTTTCCTCTTGGCACAAAACAGCAAGAAGTTACTACCTATATATCCATGAGAAATTTCATGTTTGTATGTTTATATATATATATGTAATCTGTTTGAAGCATTTGTTGCTGTTCCAGGATGCATGACGTCTTTTGGAATGGCAGCCAAATTTAGTTTTTTGACTGAAAAGTGCACGGAGAAACACATAAAAGCAAAGATTAAAAAACCAATAACAAGTGCTCTCGTTATTTGCATGAGAATTATGTTGCTTACTTTTTGAATGATTATGGTATGGTTATTGTGGTATCTTGGATTTTGACTGTCCTGTTTTCCTGACAAATTTCAACCTGCTTAGTGTGAGTTTCAATTTCTTTGTTCCTTCTTAAGCTTATTACAGAAGATACCCCTGTATTTTTCTGAGCAAATAACTGGTTGCAAGCAATTTGTATTTCCAAAACTTCATCTGCTATTTGCGCTAGACCAGTTAATTATGCATCAGAAGCTTATGAAGTTGTTTGCATACTGGAAGGAAGTCTTTGCATCCAGCTTTTTCAGGAATTCATCATGTATTTTGTTTGAAGATAAATCTTTCATATGTTCTAAGAAGAAACTAGGTTTTTTGGTCCCCATTAGTAAGTCTGATAAAAGTTTACAGATTTGCTGAACTTTGGAATCTTGAAATTTCACCAACAGTCTGCATTCAAAGTCAGATATTTGTCATTTTCATGAAGTGTTAAGATTATATCCGAGTGTTAATTTTGATGAGTTTAAATTTGCTACAATACACAAAAACTTGGTGTTATCACTATATTGCCAAATAGATCAATAGTTGATTTCAAACCAGGTGGCAACGTCATGCTGTGAATCTGATCTGTCACGATTTCTAGAATCTGTGACTCAAGACTCAGTCATATTCGAAAGGAGAATTGTTTCCAAAAAAAAAGAAATGGGGGAATTCAGAGAAGCAAAATAGATCAGTGGCCATCAGTAGATCAGCTGTTTCAGTGCGATAATTCATAGTCATAACAAAACGTGGGGAAGCAAAAAGATACATACTTTTTTTTTAAGTTTTCCATTAACATCTTGTTTGGCATGTGGCAACAGTGGGCATTTGTATAAATGTTTTGAAGATGTACAGTCGAAATATAAACACACACATGATCACTAAATATATGCTGCTGTAAGCACAATCACAAACACTGCATTATTTGTATTCCAGACTTAGAATGAGATGCTTCAGTGTAGAAAAGCAGCGAAGATGGATGTCTGGTTCTGGATTATTCAGGGAAGTCTGAAGACTAGAGGTGCATTAATTTGGTAGTTTAGTTTAGGAAGACGGATTTAAGTTTCTGCTGTGCAATGACAGTTGTTCAGAATTGCCTTTATTATCTGATATATTAGGACCGGCTGCATAAAATGTTTTCTGGCAATGCATGTACACAATTCCACTATGCACTTGAAGATGCATGTGACTCAAGAATTATTTGAAGATACAGATGAGCAAGCAGTTATTTGAAATTTTGCAGAACGCAATTGTTGTAACTAGTAGAATAGTAATTGATAGTTTACAAGTTCATCAATGCAGTTGTCAGTCCTGGGTCAGCACTAGAGTGATTTCATTAGGTTACATATTACGGAATATGACACTAAAAACACATTTTTTATAAATTTATGAGAAGCTCTACAAACAGTACAATAACAACAACTGACAATCAATACTGAATGCATAGAAATGGTTATTTACAGATAAGATTATTGTCCTTGTCATGTGATGAAGATACTACCAGCTTTCTAGTTGAGCATCACAGCATTGGAGTACTTGCTTTATCTGGAACATTCTGTAGACTGAATTAGTCATGGCTTTTTTATTTTTTGGTTGTGTTTTAATGTCATCTGATTTGTTACAGTCAGAGACAATATCAGAAGAGCTACAGGATCACTGGTTCGACAGCTTCAAGAAATTACGAAACGTTGATGACAGAAATAATGCAGATTGATAAAGTCTCTTGACGCTGGTCGTGAAATTGTCATGTCAAGTGGTGGTATTGCTGAGCAAGCTATTGTTCCTGCAATGTCACAGCATGCCATCTTGCAACTCGTAACAGCTCCAAGATTGTGACTTGTAAGGAGATCACATGCACAAATTTCTTATTTCTGTGTGGTCTGCTACAATACTCTGCTCTTCACTGTATACAATATGTATGAAAATTCTTCATCTCAATTTAAACTTAAACAGCACATTTTATGAATTTTAGTTTCCCATGCAAACCGTTCAGTTAATCAATAAGTATTCCCAAGAAATGCTTATACATTCACTGCATCAAAACTTCAATTGCTTTCAAAGTTGACTATCAGAATTTATACTCCTAGCATTTTTCTAAGGTTTCAGCTACTTTAAATTTCCGCCAATTCTTATTTTCAGCAATAAATTAATATATATATATAGAGAAGTCATAAATACACTGGTGTTAAATTATGAGAGCAAATACTTTCTTTTTTACATTCCTAAAAAATATCTGACCAAATTTAATGAAATTTGATAATGGATACTACAGTTTTTTGTCACAACAGTGAAAGTATCCACTTATGACTGACTGTAAGTAATGCTCATGGGAGACAGTTTGTACAAAACTGACATTACAGAATGGTTCCTAAAACAAGGCTAATGAGGATATGAACATCTCTAAGAGATACACAAGATCTTTTAGTGGACATTCACCACATTAAAAATAATCAAAATATAAAAGGTTAAGCTTCAAAATTAGACATCCTTCAAAATTTCTAGCCACCCCAAACTCAATTTATATAAAGATTATTTAACATATTATTTAGGAAATTAAATACTACAAATGCATACTTAAATGTATATTCATGGCATAAGATGCCTATGCAGTTTATTAAGCATAATTATACATGTTGGGTATATTATTTCAAAAAAATATCAAAATGGGTGTAGTATCAGTAATAAATTTACAGATAATTGCTTTGTAAATTTCTATCTTTCCAATAGTGTAAGAAAATTACAAAAGAAATGAGTATTTTTATTTTATTCCTCAATACTTATATTTTAAAAAGCAAATATACAAATTAATTTAGTGCATCAATTAAAGACTTCATTTCAGAGTGTCTGTCTTTAGCACACTTAATGCAATGCATTAATGAGTCATCTTGCACAAATCCGGAAGAATGGATACAAGTTGTATTATCTTCCTTTAAGAATATTGTTACTGAAGTATCTTCAAATGTTTCTTCTTCTAAAGAAGGATCAGCAATCACATTGTCTTTGATAACAGCATAAGTTACAGAAAATACATAGCTACTTAGATCTAAAGCAACAGTATTATTAGTTACTTCAATACTATTATCATCAGGATTTATCACAACTTCAGGCAACCTTGTGTTTTTCAGTGCAGCTATCAATGCTAAAACACAAGCATCTAATATGTTGCCATCATAACTTAAACAAATCATTTCAGCAAAAATACACCAGGCAAGTTTATCTTCAAGAATGCACAATTTTTCAGGTGACAAAAAATCTGAATTTTTCCATAAATCCATAATCAATTGAGTATAAACCTGGGCTTGTTCTGATGGTGGCCCGGGTGTAAACCGATTAGAGCATATGGAAGTTAATGTAACATTGGGCACAAAAAATCCTTTATTTGGTTCATTATTTGTAGGATTAGTTAATTCCACTTTCACTCCACATAACACTGAAGTCCCACTCAATCGAACAAGCGCTGAACCATTAGCTGTTGCAAAAGAACCAACATCTATAAGAACAGGTCGAAATTCTATCAGTTTTCTCCCATCTGGACGTATATTATTTTCCAGAAAAGTAGTGATATACTTCTGAGGTTGGAAAAGTTTCAATTCATCAGCTGTTATGTTATCTACAGATCTGAAATAAAATAGCAATATTCTTAGAATATGTTCATGAATGACTGAATGACTGTAAACAGAATATAGAATGTAATACAGATAATTTATAAAATGTGTAAGGGGTGAAGAAATATACAAGATAAATCTTAGATTCTAAGGGATAGCCGAATAAGCACTGAGGAAAAAATTAAGGAACTAACTCTTTGTTTAACAGATGTTGTTTTACACATTCACGGACATCTATTAAAATGTTCTCGCAAGAAGTCTGTAAAATTTTCAAACCCTGAAAAAGAAGAAACCACCACATGTTATTTATAATAATAATAATAAAAAACTTTTATTTCTTTGTTAATTTAAAACATAAACAAAGAAATAAATTACAGTAATTATTGAACAAGATTAAAATATCTGATGATTAAATTTAGAAAACTATAATGACCACCATTTAAGATAACTACAAATAATAGTAAAATTGTATGAAAGAAGATGAAAAATCATTCACAAAAAATTAGGGATACAGTATATTTATAGTAAAGCATTTCATGCCCAGAAGTATAACATTAAAAAAAAAAAAAATACTGTTACATATAATACAGGTTTGTAATGGATTGAATGCACACAGAACCGATGATAGCTTGAAACAATTTATTTCCCCAAAAGACACATTTCACAGTTCTGGAAGTTTTCATAAACATATTCATACAGCAGTTCTCAGTATGACAGAGCATAACCAATAGTTACCACTTCAAACTACTAAAAATGATAAACACAATGCAATGCAAAGATCATCTACAGAGTGACGCTTGCACTAAACTGTGAACTGAAGCCCTCTCCAATCTTATACAGCTTTTCCCTGGCCGCCGAGAAATTTACAGTACCTTCAGTTTCTCGAAACTGTTGGAAGGCATACACAGTTATAATTACATAATGATCAAATTTTCGCCAAATGGCTACCTAGTTCAGCGACTTCTTGCCATATTTGGCAACAAAAATTAGTTGCTAAAATTATTGCTAGCTTGGTGCTACATTTACCTCAGCGTTAAATGTGCCTGTCCCTGTAATCTTACTTTTTTGGTGAATCCTTTCATGTTACATTATACAAAAGATACTAAAATTTTACATATAATTTAACTCTTTATACATACAAAATTCACATCAATATGACTGTACTCCAGATATAATGAATGCACCTTTTGGTCATGTCTAATTTCCTGTGCACTTTATTTATATTACTATACTAAACTTCTAGGTAAGAAAAGCGGGTATAACAAACTGTAAGAATATTTTTGATTGCAACTTTTCTTTTTAAATTTTCATTCCCCCCCCCCCCAGAATTTCTGCAAGTTTTAAAGAAAAAGCTACTAACCCTTCAAATCATCCACATTAGGATGGATGTTAGGATCCCCACTGCATTCACAAAGGAAACATTCTTATACTACTTTTCTTTTATCTCCACCCCCAATTTTCTCTGTTTTCTAAACAAAAGTTTCGCAAGACAAGTGTGAAACCCGATTCTATGAGAATAGTGTTATATGGTGTTACTCCATGGTGAACTAAAGAATGGGAACGGGTTCTCTGAGGCCATTCAAATTCGTTGATTTGTCAGACAAAACTCTATTTAAGACTGATGCTATGATGAAAATTTTGAAATTTTCATTAATTAAGGAAAGAGAAAGTGGTGAATCATATAAGTTTGGGGATATACAGTTGATTTGTTGAGGCAATGGAATTTTGATTGTTATTGGTTTATTTTGTTTGCTTTCCATGTTCTGTCTTACAAATGAGGGTTTTGTATTCTTTAGACATAAGACATTCTTTATTACAGTTAATACATCTCTGCTTTCTAATCTGCACTCTGTTTCAGTGTTAAAAAAAAAAAAAAAAAAAAAAAAATCTGAAATGTTTCAGATTTAAATTACGTCCAAAGGGGCGTTTTTTTAACATTTTGTGTGTTACCTTTCTTTATTAAATATCATGTTCCTCGCACTTAAACCATAAGATCCAGTGCAACAGCAATATCGCAAAATAGTTTTAAAACGAGCATATCTTTAGAATTTCCGATACAGAGACTCACGCGCTGGAGATAAAAAATGTTTTTTTTCTGCACAACGTTGCCATTGCTCGCTTTGAAATCCTTGAGTTTGTTAATCAAAAATTCGTCAAAGTTTTAAAAAATAGGAAATCGATCATAAAACAAATTTCAAATTTCAAATTTGGTCTTCCACATGCTCATATTCGTTGGAGGATTACGTTATTCAAAATTCGACGACTCTATGTACCGTTGTTTTATCACAATACGAGAAATATACATACATTTATGCAGATTTTTCATTATTTAATTTCTTCAAATATAATGCAGGACTCTAACATTTTGTGGCAACAGTTTGAAAAGTGAACCGACATTTATGAGTCCGACGCAAAATGCCAAAACGAAACTAATAGTCCTTCGGGATTCAAATCCCTTTGGACTAAAAAAAAAAAAAAAAACCTCTGCTTGGGAAGCTGTAAATGTAAAGCACTTTACACTGAAGAAAAAAAAAAAGAATGTTATTAGAAAAATACGAAATGGATGCAGCCAAATCAATACCTATGGGGAATGCAGTTACCTAAATTTACATCAAGTGTCATGGAAAAACCGAGACTTGATAATTTCTGTGCACAGAAAAATTCAGCAAATACAACACAAAGAAAGCCAAATATGTGATGCATTTCATTCATAAGCTTTCATTCACAAGATGCAATATCAAAAGTGATAGGAATTTTTTCAATTTTTGAACAAAAATATGGATAAAACGTCTTTGCAGTCCACACAAAGATAGCAGAAAATTACACAATATTTTTGTACTAGGAGGATATGTAAATTTATCATTTTTTGTTATTTATTTTTATTGTTTTTATATTTTTATGGATATAACAATTATTCACTGTGGAAAATGTATAATTTCATGAAAGGATTAGAACCATGATATTTATGCTAAGTAATTTATAGTGCAAAACTGTTAATGTACATAGTGAAACTGGAAAAGAATGGCCAATTAATTTAATTACTGCATGTAATAATAACTGTAATTAAATTTCAGTATTTTTTCAAAATTAGCTGCTCACCTCTTTTTGTACATGTGACACAACATTAATTTTTTTTAGGGGGAGATAATCATTTAAAATTTACCTTTAATAAAATAATTTTTTTCTGAAATAATCCATTTTTCTTTTTGGGATCGATACAGTGAACCATTGCTTATAGTAAAGTAAACTTGTAGTCCCTTACAGTTTGTTATAGCACAATTTGACTGTATATACAAAAAATTAAACAGTGATAAAAGCTGTAAATCATGAATTTTTATAAATTCTGATTTAAAACTTTGTAATGCAATATGCATATAAAAGCATTTCATGCCCAAATACTTCCAAACAATATATATGAAATAATTATGTTCACCTTTATTACAAATTTTAATGAACACATATATTCTTAACACACACATATTCTTATCAGAGTAGAATATATTAATTTACCTTATGCATTAGTTCATTCTTCACATTTCCATAACTTTCCATATAAATCACCTGGCTATTATAGGCTGCCATCATGGCAATGGTAATTTTACCAAAATCTTCTCTTAACTTAAGGAAAAAGGAAAAGATTAACATTAAACAATTGAAATAGTAATAATAATAATAATAATAATAATGAAAAATTTATTTCTAGAAGATTTCCTCTTGACTAAAACTATGACTGATCTGTGAAATAAGATGTACTAAATTTTTAAATCATAAGACTTTTGAATGAAAAAATATTTTAAATTGGTTTAATGATATGTATACAAATACTCTCTTCTTGTTTTCATTCATTTTATTGAATTACTAAATATTTTTCAAAATGGTATCTTGAAACATAAGTTTTGTTTTGCAGATAAGCAAAGATTGTTCACATCAGAGTACATATTGACAATTAAAGACACCAACTGCTGATATCAACTGAAACTTGGAATTTTTTTGCACTAATGAAGCAGAAAATTGAAACTACAGAATACTTCTGATATCTTTCAAAATTTGTTTCATTGGTGAAATTTCATAAAATTATACAATCATGGCATTGTGAAAATGGATTTTTTAGGTGGAAAAAGTAATAAAAAGAATTTCCTGTTTGGGAAAAAATTAAAGTACATTTTATAAGTTTCATTCTGGAATTTGGAGGAGAAAATCTGTTTTGTAGAGATTTCTTATTCAGGTTTAACTGTAAATGGAATTTCTTACAAATTATTAACCTTTTTCAGCTTCCATAGAAAGTTAACTGCTTATTATGACTATTTTTTAAACACTACGATGCATGTAGAAGGGGGAATATTTTCATTCACAAGAAACCATGATAATTTTGCTATAATGAATAATATTTGTTTATGATGGATAATTTGTAAAATATACAAGATTTTTCACACTAATTTTTGTACAGCCGCAAGCTAACACATCTATGAAAGATATTTTATTTTAAAATTACAGACATAAAATTAATTAACTATTACTAATTTCTAACACACTAGAGAGATGGAAATATATGATAGTTTTTAAAATTTCCATCATAAATATAAATTTTACTTAAATATTACTTTTTACATAATATCTTTGATAATTAGAAAATAATTTTATTCTGGCATGGATTTTGCAAATATCAAAATTTTTCATAAATATCATATTTTCTCCCATTATTGTATTTATTTATTTTTTACTTCTATTGCAATTACTGGATTTTTTTTTTCATATTTAAGTAGCTTTAACATTATCCCTCACCAGAATTTATGAAACTAAATATACTACAATGTATTATGTTCAAAAATTCAACCCAGAATTCTGAATTACTTTTCAATCTTATGGAATATGAGAAAAAGACATTCTGCCATTTTTTTTCTGTTATAAAATTACTACATAACTGCTTTAAATTAAATTCAAAGAAGAATTACTCTAAAAAAGACATACCTTGCTGTAACGCTCTTCTTCTGCAGTTGGATCTAATAGTACACGAGAACCACACTGTATCTTATTTAGGGAGTAAAAATTTTATGCAATTAATTTAGGATACAAAATGGGTATTTTACAGCATTTATATGTATACTACACATACAGTATACACAAGTATATATATATATATATATATGAAAAAAAAAAAAAAAAAAAAAAAAAGACAGATAAAAAGCTTCAAAGAGTCTAAGCAAAATATTAAAGGGTAAAAAATGTTACAGTGCAAAGTCCATAATACGGACTCGTCGGAACTTCAGCGATTCCGGTTTAGCGGTTTTTCCGGGTTATACATCATCAATTTAAATCTGGTAAGATGGCATACAGAAATTATACAATTAAAAATATTAAACAGTAATTTATGAATTAAAGAGCAATTATGATCTAAAGGGTATCAAAATTTGCAAAAAAAAAAGCTTAATATTTATTTGTTTACTTTATTAAACATTTCTTTCAATGTAAGTTGTTTACTTCGTTTTTTGTGCTAAACATGCATGTGTAAACATTAAACGCGCATGTGTAAATTCATTACGTGCATAAAGAGAAATTATGATTTAAAGAAAGGGTATCAAAATTAAAAAAAAAAAAAAAAAAAAAAAAAAAAAAAAAAAACTTAACATTTTTTTACTTTATTAAACATTTCTTTCAATGCAAGTTGTTTAAGTTGCTTTGTTTTTTGTGCTAAATGCGCATGCGTAAACGCATTATGTGCATGCATAAAGCATACAAAAAGATCATTCCGGATTACGTACTTTGTACTGTACTTGTTCTTGGATACTAATTTGATTTTATGAAAATTCTTTCCCCATTATGCAAAACCAGTAATTATTTAACCTTTTTCATAAAGGAAACACTGTTTCATCACACTTTTAAACCTATAATATAAGTAATTGGAGTCAACATTTTCATAAAAGAAAACAATGTTTTATCATTCTTTATAATTATTATATAATTAAATGAAAATGTAAGTGACATGTCACATGGTGCCAGGGTCATGAGCCATTATTTTAAGAACTGGCTGTTTGCATGGCTAGTCACCCAAAAGTGTTACTATAAAAAAAGAAAAATATATATGATTTTAATTACTGCAGATAATGTAGTTTCATGGTTTCTAGCAATAATGGAAATGAATCTGCATTTTTTTCGTTTAAATTGCTTAGTATCACTATGTTTGCTGATTAAAAGCAAAATACTTCTGTTATATCAGTGAGTTTTCTGATTAAATTTGAAACATAAACATCTTGCTGAGTGGCAACACAAAGCCTTTAAATTACTGAATTTTTAATTAAATGCTAATTAAATTTTTATAAAATATGTAATTATTTTATTAAAAAAACAAATTCAAAATTCAGAATTTGCTTTGAGATGTACATGTTCAGGTGGAAGAATGTGTGTTTAAAATTTGGTAGCTCTTGGTGCCACAGTCTGACAGAGTGATCATGTTTGACAGACAAATACATTCTGTTTTGTCAAAAGGCAAAACACTTCTTTAATATCTCTGAGTTTTCTGAGTAAGTCTGAAACAAAAACATCTTTCTAAAATTGTAACACAAAGCCTAAACCACTAAATTTTTAAACAAAGGTTCATTAAATTCACATAAAATTTTCAATAAATAAAAATAAATTAAAAATTTGGGCTTTGAAGTATACATGCTCGGGTGGAAGGTTGTATGTTCACAATCTGGTGTTCTAGGTACTGCTGTTTTTCTACAATGGTAGGAACATACATACAGATTATTCACCATTGAATAGTAGATGCAATATATTTTTTCAGTATAAGTGGTCAATACTTCTAAATAATTGAAGAGAAAGTTTACTTTCCAAATACATTATACAATATTTAGGTAATTTAAATACTACAAGACTGAAAACTAAAAATAAATCAATAACTAAATAAATAAATTGGACCAAGAAAACATTTTGCATAAGTGCACAAGAATCTATGATCTTCCACTGTGAATTACAAATTATTAGAAATTAATTGGGAAGCAAACTTACTAAACTACAGCCAATTGGAAAGTCATACATTTCCACGCCAGCATTTGATAATGCAGCTCCAGCACAAGTTATTGAAGCACTTATTGCTATAGAAAAATAAATAAATAAATAAAATAGTAAAAAATAACATTCACCATAAAAAAATTAATGTCAAACATTTAATTTCCTTTTTTTCTTTAGCATATTAAAACTTCTCTGCGCTTTTATGAAACATTTCACATCTTATGAATACTTGGATTTAAGAATCAGAAAGGAAAAAGAAAAATAAGCTTTTGCAATACACAGGGATTTGTTATAATTTTTTGTAAATTATTTTAACAATCATTTCCCAAGAGAAGGGGGAGAGACATTTAAGAAGGAAAGATTACTTAGCAAAGTACAATAATGTTACATATGGGAAAAGAGCCTTTGCAGATGATTTCTTAAGAGGAACTAACTATATTAACATTATATGTAAGAAAAATTATAAAAATGTAAAAAATCATGTAACCTGCTCACTCACTTCCATTATTGCTTCAACAATTTAGCCAGATGTAAAAAAAAAAAAAAAAAAAAAAAAAAAAAAAAAAAAAAAAAAAGAAACCGTGTGGCTATACATAAAACAAACAGCAGTATACCACAGAGAATTCTGACAAAGGTAAATGGTAATGAGAATCATTCATATCATAACTAAAGAAAAATGTGATACAATCTTGAACATTCAAATTAATGCTAAAAGGTTAATCTTTGAAGGGTCTGGGACTGGCTTTCGGCAGTTGTCCTTTCACTAACAGAAAAATACATTAGCAGGTGTTTTGCTGTCAAGCATAAATAAAAGATGTAATAAAGATTGCTTATAATATACATGCATAATACCCACCAGTTAACATCACTTTCAGTGGCATAAATAGGGATACGGAAAGAAAGCAGCCTCATTAGAGCTCAAGATCTTAGAGGGCCCTTATATATTCTGTTGAATTAGATTTATACGTTTAAATTTAGAATGAAAATAGACTGGTTACTTTTGCTTCCATGAAAACATATATATAATGTTTTTACAGAAATTAATTAGAGGCTACATGGGGCCCATTCAGCTTTTTCCATTTTAGCTCCGTAACTTTTGTACCAGCTTTGTTTTAATGCAAGTCTAAACAGACAGCATCAGGAACTGCTTAAAAATGAAGCAGAAAAGTTGTCAATTGAAAGCAAATTCAAATACACCGAGCATTTCATTAATGATGAATGTCATTAATGATCTTACACTAGTGACAATTTGGCGATCAGTTTTAGTGCAAAAGCTATTTCCGAGTTTCTGAAGGCAAGGGCTGCTAAAATGAAGGAGCAGGATATTAGGGTTGTTACTTCATTAGATGTTTAGGTAAGAGAATCAAAAAATATTTTTGAATTATCAGTGCTCTTGGGGACATTGTCGCCTACATATCCATTAATCCTCTTAAAGTGTGGTTAGATAATCAAATTATTTGTGTTGCTCTTGTGGAGTAAAATACTGAACAAGAAAAAAAAAAGGAAATAAAACATTTTAAATTATATTTCTTTCTATTCAGTATTCTAATTTCTCCCTTTCACAGTTTCTACTTTTCCCTCTAATTTTCAGAATAGCCAATTAAAGAAATTTTGTGATGCACATAATTTCAGTGCTTATTTAAATATACTTAATTTTAAGAAAAGTACCCAAGTTCTTTGCCTAATATGAAAGGTAATTTCTTAACAATAATGTAATGTTATTCAATATGATAAGATGATTAACAAAGATATTTTTACAATTTTGTATCCCACTGATGATGCTTGTTATTACATCCTCTTGCATCCCCCCACAAAAAAGGGAATGTTATGATGTGTGGCCATTACATAAAAAAACTGCTTTAAGATGCCATTGAGGGCTTTCTGTACCGTTATTGTGAGGTAATATAACATGTATTGACTGCACTAATAATTCCAGTGTGCCTGTCTTAGAAGCTACGCTGATATCCCTTCCACAATTACAGAAAAGTGAAAGGTTAAACATTCAACTATTGAGATAAACATTGTAGGGTTTCCTAAAAAATCCAAACAACAACAATCATTTTTTTAATCGAATAATTCACGTTCCTGCAATATTTTTACAGCTTTAGAAATTTGGCATATATGGGATAGTTTAAAAGAAATCAGCATAGATCTTTCAGTTTGGGTCATTTTCAAGAATATTGAGGGAATTTCAATTAACAAATAATTCACTGCATAGTTAATGTTAATCTGAAATCAAAGTTTGGTATTTTTAAAGTACTGAAAAATGTGGCTTAGAATAGAATGTGGTTAATGACTTCAAATGACTAGAGCCCAACACTGGAATAAAAAAATTACTGAAAAATTATAATAGCAGTTGTTTTCAGGGCAAAATGCAAGTTCTATAAATGTAATGGAAACTTTTTATTTCCTTTCTATAAATTACATACAGTTAGTTATAAAATCAATATCAAGTACAACAAAATTTCATAACTGAAGTACTTGTTGAATGATGGAATTCAACTTTTGCAAACACTGCCTTATAGTGATATATAAGGACTTGGTAGCAAATGTTTCCTAGGTATGCCTAAGATCAATACCTATTCTATATTCAGTTTTTTTTTCAAACTGAATATAGTTTACAATTACATGAATTGATTACGAATTCAGACTAATACACAGAAATAATGTTTGACCATTTGTTTTGCACACAAAGCATTAACATTTAACAATTTTAGCTTCATACCTATATATATATCAAATACCCTCATATTTTTATGATATTCTAAATTACTTTTCTTAAAAAAATAATGTTACTGATTTTTGTCTTTTGTATTACAATAAATATTTCATAATTAAAATTATATTACCATACATTTTTCTTTCTTGCATTTGGTAACTGCTTTTTATACATCTTTTTAATTTATATTTTAAAATCTCCTTTAATTTTAAAAACACTACTTTTTATAGATTATGTTTTTATTGTATTGCATTGCATTTTGCATCTTTCAGATGGCAGTATTAGTTTAGAATTCTAGTGAGCAGGGCATGGAACCACAACATAGAAAACTGTACCACCATTTAGGCATACCAGTTGATTGTCCATGATGTGGGGCTACCTACTACCGACTACCCGAGAGGGACCCACCCCAAGCTACCATTTATTTCAAAAATTCAACTTTTACAATTTAGAAATTTTACATAAACAGGTTACAATTTAGACTGTTTACATAAACATACAGAAATTCCAGAAAATATTTTGCATCAAAATGTTTATTAGTATAGGTATCATTAGTTCAGAAATATGGAAAAGTTTACAAGAGTTCTATACACTCAGTATGTTTTGTAGCTATGATTAAGTAGTGATGATTAAGTGCCTTTGAGATAATCACAATTTGTTGAGAGATATTTTATGAGATTACTTAAGTTTATAACGAAGAATTTTACTTTTCAGTAATTTAGAAAACCAAAGTTGAGCATTGTTTTGTGTATAGCGTTGAAAGTGAAGATCCTTGGTAATTTGGCATTCAAACAATGGTGCCAGGTGAATCACAAATGCAAAGATTACTATGATGAAGTCCAAAACGGAAGAGATAAACAGTGAATGCTCCATGAGCTGTAGCCAAATTAGGCGATTGAATGATTTGTAGTGATGAGATTTCTGGAGGGAGTAGGTAAAAACTGAAATGTTCTTCTTCTTGTTCTTCGTATATCCAGCTATTTTTCCATTTGGAGATGAGATTGGTTTCTAGGCAGGAATTTAAAAATGAAATAGGATTAGGAATGAATAAACGTGGCAATGAAGAAGTATTGGCTGTATCCCTGGCTAGGTTTGGTTTTTTTCTGGTTTATTTAATTACGGCAAAGCACACTAGGACTATCAGCCTAGGGAAAGGGATGCCTTCAAGGAGGACTTTCTAAAGCATCCCTGGTTAACTGATCTGCTAATTCATTGCCATGGGTGCCATGTGTGCTTTAGTCCAATGCAATTTTGGTAATAGTCTTTTTGAAAAGCTCAATAGTATTGTTTGAATGTCCTTGACTATTGGTGATTCGTTGAAGCTGGCTATTTATTGCTTGAAAACTGGAAAAGCTATGGGCAATTATAAAACTTCTTTCTTGAAGTTGATTTGCAAATGTGAGTGCTTCCTTGATTGATAATAATTTTGCTCGATATACTGAGTTTGTTATACTTAATCTGATTTGCCAGGTTTTATATAGAGTATTATGACAGAAGACAAAATAGACGCAGCCTACTCCTTTATCCACTTTGGATCCATCTGTATAAATATGAATAGGGGATTTTTTTAAAGAAGTCTTGAGCTTGAAATCATTAGTGATTAAACTGATAGGATTGATATTTGATTGCAGCGTGATATCTTCATAGTCAGCAGGTTGATAAGTTTTATTATTAAAATGTCCTGTGAGCCTGAGTCGTGATACTTTGGTTTTAACTGCTTCCTTTTCTAGGGCTAAGTTGATAGGTGGGATGCCAGAAATGATTTGTCATGAAATTCTAGTTAGCAAGAGAATTATGAGAAATTCAGTGAAAGTTTTTTTGCCCTGAGCTAATAATCCACTGCTGAAGTAAAACAAAAGGGAATTTATGCAAGCCAATAGTTTTGAGTAGTACTTACTAGTATTAAGATGTACTTAAAAAGTGAGTAGTACTTAAAAACATCATTAGTTCTAGGTAATATTTTCGTAATTCTACAAAATATGCTTAGTTGTAACAGCTTTTTTCTTTTAAAATTTTAGATAGCAAAGGTATACAATAGGTAAACAAAATTATTACATTAAATAAATTTAATATAATATGGTAAGACATAACATAGGCATGTAAAGAAATATATATCTCGATGGCGAACTGGACCAAAGGTAGTGAATAGTCCCATTCTCATCTTTGCAAGTAAAGAGACATTGGTACTGTTCTGTTGTCGGGACCGGATTCAGAAATGTATGAATGTATGTGCATGTGCATGTGGATATGTATACAAATACATACATTCATGCTTACATGAACACATACATGCATACATTTCTGGATCCGGTCCCTGATAACAGAACAGTATCAAGACATATTACAACATTATAAATACTTATTATTATACTTCAAACTAATAAATATACTCGAGAAGAATTACAAAAAAGGCAAGCCAAGAAGTAGGTTAACCCATAAGAATTTACATACTTCAGATCAATTATCATTGCTAAGTTCATTTTTGAGAAAGTTGAAAAATATATGCCAAAAGTACTTATTTCATGTAAAAGAGACGAAGTTACATTAAGATTTAATAAATATTTGTTTTTATCCATAAAACTTAAATTATTAATAAAAAATTTAGAGAAAAATAATTCACAAATAAATTAACATTAGAAAATATTAAAAAAATGCAAAATACTTACCACCACCATCATTTTCCAAAACCAAAATACAAATATCCAATCGAGCTTTTGGAAATTTGTGCTAAAAGCAAAGAATAAAAATTCATTAGAAACAAACAGGAAATTTAGTATTTGATATTAGGCAAAAAGCAACCTTAGATTGGCAAAGATTTTTTAAAGCATTTAGACACAGGACACACTTCTTCAACAAAAAGAACTAAACAAACTTAAATTCCCAAAGAATAAAAATTCACCCTTCAAGAGTGTTCAGACAGATGCCCTTTTCCTTTATGGACAACACTCCCCTCCCAAAAAAAGAGCCATCTAAAAGTTTTATTTAACCTAAGATTGCATTTCTTCCCCTCAATTTAAAATTTTACATTTTTGTGTTCTTCTTTCAATTAGGTACAATTTAGAATTTAGAGAATGTGTGATGAGGAAAAAAATATTCAACTGTCATTGAAGTGATAGATATCAAAGACTAAAATTTGTAAAGCTATTAAATTTATTTTATATCCATTATTTTATTAAATCAAATACATTATAAAATATATTTGTCAACTTACCAACATTACTACAGGTTCTAAAGCATTTTGTATAGATTTTGATATCCCCAGCTCTTCTTCAGTTGGTTGATAAGATTGTCTCTCTGTGCAGGAAAATGATGCATATTTGAATTCACAATACAACTGACCCTTTGTTGAAGAATCACTTTTATGCAAGGCATCTCGTGGACCATTTCTAAAATAAAAAATTATCTTATTGAATCAAATTTCTACATTATTCTATTTAATCTCTTCAGTACTATAAACTTAATTATCCCTGTGATCATAACAAAGCAAAGGTAGTGAAGTTAATGTTTCTGTGTTATATTTTTAATGAGAATTTGCATTAGACACTTTCTCGGGTCCAACAATTAAATGAATGAGATATTCATGTTCTGTATTTAGATATACAGGGTGTCCGAATCAAATGTACCTATTTTGAACAGTCGATTAAAAGCAAAGCTTTTGCTCTACGAAGGCGATGTTGGCCATATGTGAGAGAGCTGAATTCGCAGAGTTTGGTGACAATACTTTTTTCTCTTGTCTGACACAACTGCACTTTTGCTGAAGCTGACAAACTGAAAAAATGGCGTCATCGCAAGAGAAGGCACAAATTGTTCTCTGGTATGCAGGACACGAATCTATAGTAAAAGTGCAAAGAATGTTTCAAATAGCTTATAAAAGAAATCCACCAAGGCTAAGAGCATAAAAAAGTGGCACAAAACCTTTCTGGAAACGGAAAGTATACGGAAAAGCTCCGGAGGTGATTGGCGTTCACATTCTGATTCATGTGTGGAAGATGTTCGACAAGCTTTTATTCGGAGCCCTCATCAGTCGATCAGGCAGACAGCTTCTGATTTATCTATGCCACGATCAACTATTCATGATGCTTGCATATAACAGGTAGATTGCCCAACCAAATGATGGGCCACAGCAAGCAGCATTTGCTGTGGAAATGTTATCTCGCATCGAAAATTAACACAATTCTCTAAACCTCACCTTTTTTTCAGATGAAGCTACATTTCATGTTAGCATCAACATTAATAAGCACAACTCCAGAATTTGGGGCTCAGAAAATCCCAATTCACTACACGAATTGGAACGGTTCAGCCCAAAAATTAGTATCTGGTGTGCTCTATCACATGATACAGTCATAAGACCATTTTTCTTTGCTAAGACATGTGTGACGACAAACATTTATTTACCAGGACATGTTACAAATTTACACAATACCCCAAATGCAGCATTTACAACCCACTGTTATCCTCCAACGAGATGGGGACCCTAATCACTGGGGAAACACGTTGGCACATTTTTAGTTACAGCTTTCCCTAACCGATGGATAGGACACAGTAGCGCAATTGCCTGGCCAGAAAGATCTCCCGACGTGACTCCTCTTGATTTTTTTCTTTTGGGGCTATGTGAAAAACAAAGTCTGCTCAGGGAACAGCCGTGATATTGAAGACCTTGGTGCCTCCATAACCATGAATACTGCTACTATGACTCTGGAAATACTACACTGGACATGGCCGGAACTGGACCACTGATAGACATTCTCAGGGCTACCAAGGGAGCTCACGTGGAATTAATTGTATTGATTGTTTAATAAAAACTTTGTGATCTAATTTTACAGTTTTCTTACACTTTTTAACTCTCTGTTAAGAACAACAACTTCTCCAAATTAGGTACATTCGATTCGGACATCCTGAACTTATTTAACTGATGACATTTTAGATGATTAATTATATAGAATCCTTACCTGAATTATTATTGTCCTATTATCTCAGGCACCCTAGAAAATCTTTAAAAATAACTTTCCATTAAAACCACAAACCTTTTACTCCATACTGACATATTTTAGCCTTTTCCATCTAGCTTTCTTCTACATAAAACAAAATATTAAAAATGAAGGCTGAATAGCCCTTTAAGTGAGCCCTCATTCCCCAAAAAAGCAGTATGACTATAATGGAAAAGTAACTAATTTTTATTATTATTAGATTACAATATTTATTTCACTATATAAACATTTCCCAGATTATATTCATGACTGAATATTGCATTTGTGCGTTACTGATATTTTGGAGCTTTTTAATGGAATTTCACAATTTTAAGGATCGTGTACAAAACCATTAACACTTTCTCAGAATGCAAAAAGATTTTATTTATTAACAGTCTATAACTAAACATTTCAATGTATGTCACATGCTTCTAAAATTCAACATCATCAGATATTTCTAGTAGTACAAGGTTCTTTTAATAATGCAATTATATAATTATGGTATTGTTCTGTTATCGGGACCAGATTCAGAAATGTGTGAATGTATGTGCATGTGTATGTACATATGAGCAAATAGATGTATATATGTAAACACACACATACATTCATGCTTACATATATATGCATGCATACGTGAACACATACAACCATACATATATGCTGTCGCTTGTGTTTGGGTTCGTAACAGATTGAATGCACACAGGTCCGATTATAGATTAATAAAAATTATTTTTATCAAAAGAAGTATTTCAGAGTTCTGGAATTTTCCACAGAAATATACGTCCACAGTATCATACAGTACGATCAGAAGTTACACTTCAAACTGCTAAGAATGTTAAACATGCAAAACGCATCTAGAGAAAGCTAGAAGAAAGAAATCGTGAGAAAGCTAGATCTCACGCTGAATTAACAACTTGCAACAATAACAGCAACAACTAACTAACCAAGAGCAGATGCTCTCTCCAGCCTTATATAGTTTTCAACCAGCTGCAGAGATATTTCTAGTACTTCCTTCTTCTCAAAATTACTGGAAGCAATATCGGGGTCAAATTACGGTTGCAGTTACTACAGCGATCAATTACAATACTTATTATGGTGATACAGGGACTGGACCAAAATGCTGCCAAGATTTGTGACTTTTGGTAACAAAATACGTTGCCAAGACCATTGTCAGCTTGGCAATATCTTGTTAAATCAACAAGATACCCATTTCTTTTTCTTCTTCATAAGATCCACAGCCTGTTACAGGCCAAGGCTGTCTCTCTAATTTTCCTCCACCTGACCATATCCAGCGCAACAGCTTTCCATTGGTTAACTCATTAACCTTAAATCTTGCTCGACATCATCTATCCATCTAATGGGTGGTGTTCCTTTTCGTCTTACTCCCTCAATTCTCGAAAAGGTTATCTTTTTGGTTGGAAATACATCACCATATTTAAACACATGGCCCAGCCATCTGATACGAGATGCCTTTACAATTTTCACAATATAATTTTCACCATTCCAATATTTTCCATACTGCTATTTTGTTGTACTGGTCCAAAAATCTTTCTTAGGATTTTTCTTTCAAAATCTGAAATCAGGTCTTTCTCTGCTCTGTTAAGTATCCAACATTCACTTTCATAAATGGCAACAGGTCTTATTAAAGTTTTATACAAATTTAATTTAGTTTTTAGCCATAAATATTCTATTCTTTATTGCAATTTTTATATCATTGGAACTTGTGATCAATAGATACCCATTTACTCTATAACATTATTAAATGTTATAGAGTAAATGGGTATAAATGTTATAGAGTAAATGAGTATCTATTGATATAATGTTAAAACACATTATTCTTACTTTTACAGCATAGCTTTCCTCTTGAGATTTTTTTGTGTTACATTACACAGAGAAATACAATTTCACATATAACTGCACTAAAATCATCTATCTATATACAAAAGATGTAACAATACATTTCTGAATCCAGTTCTGATATCAGAACAGTACCATAATTACTTTATACATCAAGGGAAATGAATCTGTTTACTGGGTACTTATGTGTATTATCAACACTTAACTTAGCAACAGAAGTCACCAAACTTTTGGCAACCATGTTCATACACATTCTTCAGCCCAAAGTCGTTAATAACAATCTTTCATTCAAGTAAGGCTGCCATTTTTTACAGCTTTTATAAACAAATTATGTTATTAAACTCAATGCTAATGAAATATCACTTGTTGAATTTGCGAGGAATGGAAGAAACTATGGTAAAAGTTCTGCAGTAATTTTGCCGCAAAATAACTACAGGAAACAATGATAAGATGAACAAAGCAAAGTTTATGCAATTCTCTGACTTTTTTAAGTGAAAAAGATCACTATCTAAAGTGGGAGAAGAACAGCACTAAAAAATTTAAAAAATTCTCAAAAACGAGTCTTATTTTAAATGTAAAAATTAATCCTTGTTTAATAATTAAAACATATTTTAAAATCTTTTTTCTTTTGATATGTTGATAATGTTTATAGATTTCTTGGAAATTTCTTTTGCATAAAGTCACAAAAATCACTAGCTAGCATTAATAATATTTATCTTTTCATTTGTAAATAATGTATTAATGCAGCCACCCTGGCCCAATTTAGCTGTCATTTATAATGATTGCCAAATTGTCCCAAGGTACTTGCATTAACCCAAAAGAGTCGTTTATGGTTGTACTCAACTTTTTGTGATGAAAAAGAACTGGGATCTGCTTCTTGAATTTACAAAATTCAAGAATTTTCTGGTTTCTCCATGTGTAACATTAACAGACATTAATTTTCGTTAGAAAATTGCTATGAAGGCATCTCTTCCATGAGGCACATAGCTTTCATGTGCATTACCATAATTCAAAATAAAAAACTAAGATATTAAAAATGACAATAATAAAACTTACACAGAACATATAATTTTTGTGTTCCCACATTCTAAGTAAGCAGAGCCAGTGACTTCTGGTGTTATTCCAATACTCAGTGCTAAAAAAGAAAAGTACATTAACTTTTTAAGTAGAATGTACAAAATTTAATAATTATAGCCAGTCATAATCAACCGTTTTTCTTGATTTACACAATTCAATTTAAAATAAATTATGATTATAAAATAGCAAAAAACAAAATGTTAGATATTTCATGACATTTTGACTTACAGAATAAAGGCGTTCAAGATTTTTGAATAATTTAAATTTTGTAAAAATTTTAATTTTTGATGGAAACTATCATAAAGACCTTACTTTGTACTAATAAATCATTTTTAAGAAACTTTCCTTTGCCTTCTGATTTCAGTTTCCTGCCAGAATGCAAATTTAAATGACATATGTGCAAAATATCAATGATGGTGGTGGTAATGGATTTCTGGCGCAAAGCTCTCTGAAGGCCATACGTGCCAAACACAGGATTCCTTCTTCAGCATACAAAACTACAGTACAAATTTTACATAGAGAAAAAGTTTAAAGATAACAGCACACTTATAAAATCGAGGCAAGTCAAAAGATATTGAAATGGTGGGATGAAAATGCTGAGGAAAATATTAATGAGTTTGGAAAATAGTATTAAAGTAGCAGAATTGTAGAGTTCACAGTAGAAGAGTTAGTTACGAGTAGAAAGGATTTATGCCACGTATTTGCATGTAGCTTTGTAGTTGAATTCTTGTGCTAACCACTTACTTTTACATTATTTGATATTTTAGACTCTGCTTTGCGGTGTGCAGTCAAAAATTCTGATTTAGAATGAAGTAGGAGCCAGCTGTGCAGTTGAAATTTGATCCATTCTGATTGTACATACTATTTTGTGTTAAGTTACTTCATTACATGTGGTGGTTAGTTTGTGAGCACCAAGTGTGTCCATGTTCTGTTCAGTTTAATTAAAATAAAGTGATTGTTATAACCTTCGTTGGCAGTTATCTGTTTTTCAAGACATAGCAAGAATTAGGAATCTCGTCTTCAGTAGGGTTGACATTTTATGATACCTAAATGAATAATACTCTACACTATAAAGGATGAAATATAGTATACGGATTTGAGTACTAAGACACAGAATGATTCCAAGACCAATAGGAATAAAGAATGCAACAAATGGCCAAATACAGTCAACAACATAATTAGCTTTTCTTATAAAACTCTTTCTTATAAAACTCTTTCTTATAAAACTCTCAACAGAATACGACAAATTGGAAATTTTCAAGCCTAAAAATTTTATCTATGCAATAACACATATATGAACACAGCTCATGTGCATATCATTTCCAAATCTATTCCAGTACAACTTCTAAATTTAAAAAAAAAAAAAAAAAAAAAAAAAAAAACATTTAATTCTTGACTTTACTTGCTTGTTTCTCAAAAGACTTCATTAGTATTTTCCTTTTTGAACTTTAATTCTTAAATGTTAATTTCTAAGGGAACCATTTTATTGAAATTACTTTTGGTTTTGACTTTTACCCTTGCCTACATGAATGACGAAACACGAATTGAATGATTGGAGAGTTAGGTTTGGAGGCAACTTCCCCTTGATAAGTCTGTCTCCTGTCTACTCAACGATCATTCACATATGCATTTTTTTAAAAAAAATGTTTAATTTAATTTTAATTTATTAAATTAGTAAATTTATTTTCATGGATTGATTTTGCACTTGATTTGCTTATGCTTCTGAATTTAAATGATATTGTAGATTAGTTCGAGTATTAAATCTTTTATATGTTTGCACATTTTTTTAAAAATTATTTTGGCTTTTTTCCTTTTTTACTTTTATACGTATTTGTTAAAAATTAAATTTAAATTTGTTTAAATTCTAAATTCAATAGTCATTTTTCTGATTAGTGTTTAATTTTGCATAGAAAAGATCCACCTCTTTGTAATAAATCATAATGGGACTGGGGAGTTAACTGGCTGATAAGTGGTTTATTAATCTACCGGTTCCAGATGAACTTAATTAGGCAATACAAGTTTGGGATTATCATCCCCCGACTATTATTCTTTCTAGCATTCTTTTTCATGGACATTTGTCCATTCAAACAAAATTTACAAGAACCACAACTAACACTTGTTAGTAATTACCTTATTCCATATAAGTAAACACTATATACATATATACAAGTTTGTAGAACGCAGCACACACAGTCTTTTCCAGGCCTGTCACCTGTTTCATTACTCTTCAACCACTTGGACATGATTGGTGTGCGCCATGATGGTTTTGATCCCTTTTAAGTAGAAGTCGGAAAAAAGTGTATTGAAGCAGAATGTTCCTGCTGTTCAAAATATGCTTCAGCCTAATGGCTGCCATGTATGGGCAGTCAAGAATGTTATGTAGGGCCTCTGCCTCATTTCCTTTTGCTTAGAAGACACACATAACATTTCTTTTGAGGAACCCAATGTAGGAGAATGTAAACTTCCCATGATTGGAGTACGCTTGTAATAAAAAGTAGTTGGACATGACCCTTTCGAGACTAACCCTCGGGAAGATGTCAAACATGAAACGTCCTGTGTCGCCTTCATTCCAGCTGTGCTGCAGATTTGTATGAAAGTGTCTTTTGTTATAGTATATTTAAGAATGCCCCTTGGATTTTCACTAAGTTGTTGTTTCATTTATGGTAACCTTATTTCAATGTTGTGGAAACCCTATTATGACATAATTGGTTGCGTGATTGTGCTGAAATTGACTGATGGGAAAATATTTGTTGGATGTCAGTTAGTAGTACGTAGGTAAGTTGAAAAATAAGTTTCCGCCTGTCGACTGTGGTCAGAGTTGTGTATGAAAGTCAAAAAATAGAATGAGACATTAAAGATATGACATACCTTTATTTTTCCACATAGGTACCAAGTACATTGAGACATTTGTCATATCGCTTGATAAGCTTCAAAAAGCCCTCCATAAGGGCTTTGCATATGGAAGAAGCGTTGAACGGCTATGGGCGAAAGCCGACGCAGCAGGAAAACGCGCAAGTCACCGATACACTATTGGGTAGAGGTTTCTGCAAATCAAGCAGATGGCGCTGTTGCAGTGCCTGTGCAAAGCGGAGACCAGCCTCTCATTTGAGCCCCGGTAGGTATGGAGAGAAGGTGTGCTTTGAATTCGTGGTCAAAGGAGGAAGTGAGAGCGGTTATCCGCTATGAATGGGCACGTGGAGTATCAGGAACAGAAATTCATAACCACCTCGTGGAAGTCTATGGGCCAGGTGTGATGTCGAAACAAATGGTGCGGAGATGGTGTCGCACATTCAGTGATGGATGTCAGCAGTGGAGGACATACCGAGAGCTGGACGGATGCTCACGGCCACTACAGATGCAAATGTCAGGAAGGTGGATGACATGATTAGAGCGAACCAGCGTATCACCATCGATGAAGTAGCGGAAGAACTTGGAATCTCACATAAGCAAGCTCAAAACATCATCCACGACATTCTTTGATACAGAAAAGTGTCAGCACGATGGGTGCCCCGACAATTGACCTCGACACACAAGGAACAACGCATGGGGGTCAACCTGGAACATCTCGTGCGTTACCATGAATATGGCAATGACTTTCTGTTTCGGATTGTGGCGGGGGATGAAACGTGGATCCACCATTACACGCCAGAATCGAAGGCCGCATCTATGGAGTGGAAACATCCGTCATCACCTGTTCGAAAGAAGTTCAAGACAACTCCCCCTCTGCAGGTAAAGTGCTCCTCACAGTTTTCTGGGACACCCAAGGAGTTTTGTTGCTGGACTTTTTGGAGGTTGGAACCATCAATGCTACGTGCTACTGTGACACCCTGTCGAAATTGAAAGAGGCGATTCAGAAAAAGCGGCCTGGCCTTCTCACATTCTACTGTTGGATGACAATGCCAGACCACATTCGGCGACGGCAACGCAAAACCATATTGCAACTCTTGGTTGGGAGGGCCTACACCATCCGCCATACAATACTGATCTCGCACCAAGCGACTTCCATCTGTTTCCGGCTTTGAAGAAAAATCTCGGGGGGAAGGCAACTGAAGTGAAACAAGCCGTTCAACGCTTCTTCCATATGCAAAGCCCTGATTTTTTCCTGGAGGGCTTTTTGAAGCTTATCAAGCGATATGACAAATGTCTCAATGTACTGGTACCTATGTGGAAAAATAAAGGTATGTCATATCTTTAATGTCTCATTCTATTTTTTGACTTCTACACAACTCTGATCACAGTCGACTGGAGAAACTTATTTTTCAACTTACCCTCGTACTTTTTTGTAACTACCTGGATATTAATGCAATCAGTTTTAAATAACTGTGAATTGCAAGATGGAGGTACAAGATGCAGAAAATTAGTATATTGAAATATTAAATTATAATTTTACTTTCCCTAATAAATGAGGGGAATGCTTTTAGATATGGATTAATGAGTCATGTTATTGAAAGAATAACTGAGGTGATTCTATATCCATGGAATATTTTACAGATAGATGAAGCCCATTTATATCTGCAAGTTGCCATCAGTTATGCAAAATTGCAGAATAGGAATGAATGAGAATCTGTTATTAGTGTAACCATTGTCTATTCGTTCAACAAAGATCATTGTGTGGTGGGGCTTTATGGCAGCATTATCATTGGTGCATACTTTTTGAAGAGAAAGGTCCTGTTACATCTTCTACTACTGGCCAACGATCTATATAAACCTCTTTTTTACAACCACATCATTTCATCACTGCAACAACAGCAAGACAGTTGCTGAGCATACATTTCAGAAATGACATCATCATCAGCTGTCATTTTCCTACAGTTTAGCTATCACTTTCACCTGACTTTAAAAGTTTGCTTCTTTTGCCTCTGAAAGTGCCTGAAAATTTTTACATAAAGAAGTGGGTAACTTAACGCATGTACTACGCATTACATGCACGGCATCACCACCAGTACACTCTGACCTGTTCTATGCTTTCAGACGTGCAGCGAGAGTACGTTAAAGCACATTTCTTGCATGAGTTATAGGTGTTGGTTTCATGATTCCTTTTGCAATGTTTCGTTGAATTCTTGAAAACATGTATTTTTAATAAAAATTGTTATTTTGCGCTAGGCACACTGCACACACACGCAAAAAAAGGACAGTTCTATATCTCCCATTCTACTGGCCCAATTGACAAAATTCAACTTGAGTTTTTCATGTCTCGAAAGTGCAACTTAGGATGTATTAGATTACATGTAGCAGTGTTTTAATATAGGTATGTATTTGACACAAAATCAGACTTTTTTGAAATGACATGACAATTTTTTTCCATATTTTGATTCCACGACTCAAATTGTGCCAAAATGCGAAATTTTGTAAAAAATGACATAAGTAGTTTTTTTAAAAATTAGTGCTCAAAATTTTAGCTCCTCAGTGTTAATTGAAATGATATATATTTGTTAATATCTTTTTTATTAAACTTACTTGATTCCTTTCCAGAATTTGAAATTTAAGCTTAATTTGAATATAATTCACATATTTTAGATTTATTTTAAAAATTTTATATTTTTAAATATTTCTTATAAATTTTCAAAAATATTTTGAATTATAACCTATAAAACTTTTAACATTATTCTAAGCATATCAACATTTCCGAGATATACGTGAATTTACATTTTCACACTTTTGAAATTGGAATATTTAATATAAGTGATAATAACAAACATGTGGTCACGCACTTTGTTAAAATTATCTGAAAGAATTAACGATGGATCTTTTTTCCTCTCGTGCATCAATGTAAAATAAGGAAAGTAAGTAGGTTACTATAAATTAAGAATTCTGCTAAGTGAATTATTCTTGGCACAAACTGAAAAAAAGTATGCCAACGTAAATTTTTAAATTTCTCCATAAATGTGTTACCAAAAATTACAGATGTGTACAAGTATACCGAGTTTGCGCAATTCTTTGACTTGTTATTTCGGCTTTGAGTGCCAGCAATTTTTGGCACAGAAAATCGTCGATGTACCGCCAAAAATCGCCAATGAGTACCCATAAATATATTTTTACTGTGTCTTTTATGAGAGAGTAAAAGTGTTTTTTTTTTACTAAATCTCCTGAAGCTAGAACCTTTAAGCTGATGGTTGGTAATGATGTTGGCAGCTGGGCTAGCTTGTCAGCTTTGCTTGTTTAATGTTATTCTTGGCCTACTCATCAACTGGCTCGCTTCTGGCCAACTTGGCTAGCTCGTCAGCTCGCTTGTTTCCTCCTAGTGTAGCCTGGACCAAACTAGAGTGATGGGGCGGTTGCTCATGAAAGTTGCAAATATGAATGTATGGGGGCCTTAATATGTCCATATGGGGGGGCTTTTGTGTTCCTTTTATTAAGTGCTTAATTAAGTTTTATTTATATAAGATTTATAAATAAATTTAAATAAGCTTTATAATTTTATAAAAAGATTGTAAAGCTTATTTTAATTAAAATTTATAAATAAAACTGATTACTAGTATAGTCAAGTGTGTGTGTATATATGCACCTACATCGTTACCACAAATGTGCACTCGTGCTGTTGATTTCAGTAGTTTGCAAACAAAATCCGGTTGGAAACAGAAGAAAATGTTACTGAATGAAAATGAACAGTATTTTATAATGTGCGATTTTTTGAAGCAGTTAAATGGGCCATATTCGGCACTAGGGCTGGCTTTTGCCCATCCCTGCTCAACATGTTATTATGATATGTGCCACAATAAACCATCCAAAGCACTATAACTATCATCATTTCATCACCTGCCCCCCGTTTCCAAAAATAAAAGTCAGAAATGCACATAATAAATTTCAAAATGCCATTTTCATCAATAAATAGGTTTGCTTCACAAAAAATAACAACAGAATTTTATAATTACACATAGATCTCAACTCATCAGGGGTCCTTTCATCTTGTCGCAGTCCTTTTTCATTTACCTATTGAAAAATATACTTTTACATAAATAAATATAAATAAATATACTTTTACATAAAAGTACACAAAATCATAAAATTCTTTACTATATAAAATGAAATTGAACAATACTTTAATGAATTTTACATCTACTTTGTTGCACATGCTTTAAATAACATTAATGAGATGTTGAAAAAATATTTCTGATATAAATAAAGACAGCCTTAAAATTCAGTAAACTTTGATTCTGTATTTAAAAACCTACATGATCAGCTTAGCTGCATAAGCCGATCTATTAAATTCAAATAATTAATCTCTTCCTTGAACAATTAACTGACACATATACTTTTGCTTTCACATAATACTAAAAAAAATATTTCTGTACACATAAGCTTCATTTAAGGTAACAATTTTACATTATGAATTATTTCCATAAATTTCCTCTGAACTGATATGGTAATTATCATATCAAGTTGAAGTTCTAAGAACCAAGAACTTACATTCCACAATTAATTTCATAGTTTTTTCCAATTTTCTTCTAAATTAGCTGCGCATTGTTTCTTGAAGATCGTAGGATACTTTCTGAATTCCTACAAAAAGTCACCAATTCATTGGCAACTTTGTTAATTTACGAAAAACCTCTGACAATCTTTAGGGCTCATAAGTTATGTTCTGTTCATAAATAATAATGAAAAGAAACATTTTCTGAAAAATTAGAAATTTTATGAAGGAAAACAAAAATCTATATGGCTGATCACATTTTTATAGCTGGAGAATACTGTTCAGTTTAATGATAGTCAAATAAAAAAAATTCAAATCCGTATGTGGTACATGCATGCATGTAGAATAAGAAATATGGCAATTCTATTGAAATGGTGTGTGTTGGTAATTAGAAAGTACCAATTGCAAATAAGCTGTTAAAATTACTTAATTGGTAGTAAGATTTAAATTACATTCTGCAATTATTTAATAAAAATTTTTGGCACTTTTCCATGATGCACATGCCTTGCATTTTGACAGTACTGCTGTAATAACATGCGTGTGTTTATTCCTGTTTACACACAGTGTGCCAGAGAGAACAACTTTGACCGAAACCATCGAATAGCCCATACAGGGTAGTATGTCAGACTCCCCAGATTTTATCTAAAACGAAGATCTAGCTATCACAGAACCCAAGAGAGACTTAACAATTATCTTACAGTCTCAACCTGCATAGATCATCATATAGATCAGTGTTGCAGCAATCACAATAAAATGATACTATGTAATTTAAATAAGTGTTTTTGTCTGTTCTTGAACATTTCACTTACATACGTATTGTACAATGCCACTGGCAAAGGGCCTAAGCATAGGTATAAGATTTTTATATATGACCACAGAAATGATATACATATTTATTGACTCAATTTATGACGTTTCAATTCTTTGGGCCAATCATATTACTTGTTACAAGGCAAAGAATATGCCAAAGTTGAAATAGCTAATGTTTACTAAAACGAATCAAATTTATTACAGACTGCAGATGAGTTTTAATACTTTCATTGTTAACTGGATTCCAGTTTCCAAATCTAAGCATTTTAAGTTAATTTATGAATAATTCTAATTTAATATCTTAAACAAAACATGCGGCCCCATCACCACAGATATAGGTCAATGTTTCTCAATAGCAGGCCCTTCCAATTAAGTTCCATAAACTTGTTTATGTAAAGATTATGCCAATAGGCAAATTACTAAACATACCAGTCTGTGATAAAATGCTGAAATATTTTACCAGTCCTATGAGTAAATCAGGTTGAAAAACACTGATATAGATTATGATTCTAGTAACTGTGAAGTTAGCTAATCTATTTCTTACCATCCACTCTCAATATATGGTTGTTCACACACACACACACACACACAAAGTCCCTAGATGATGCTATTATTGGCTTCTCAGCTCAAGTGCAGAATCGCCCACTTATATGGGTGCATATGGATGTGTACATGGACAAAGGAGTGCATAATGCCAAGTTTGTGTAATTCTTTCATTTCTTTTTTGAAGTGAAAATAGGTAGATGTGTACATGGATACTATGTGTAAGTATGTGCAATTTTTTTACTTGTTATTTTTAAGTTGGCAATTTTGAGAAACGTGGGAAGCAGTGGGCGATTCTGCACCTTTCCCGGCTTCTCTTTCAAGGGGCCAAAATGAGTGGCCCTTTGAAAAAAAAAAAAATCCTTCATATATTGTGTAGTTTAACTTACATTCAATTAAAAATAAAAACAGCAGCTATAACTTAAGCTTCTAATTGCTTCTCTGTTTATGATAGAGAATATTTCGTTTTAATATGTGAAGTTATGTCCAAAAATTAAGGCTTCTCATATTTGCTTATTTTTATTAGCAGTAGTTTAGAAACTCAAAGATAGAAAAACTTGTTTTAAGAATACATATATGCAGTAAAAAAAAAGTTAAACCAACTAATACGTCAAGATATGTGAACCATTGAATTAAATTACAGGACTGTTTAAAAACAAAACAAAATTTGAGGAATAATTTGACTCACCAAGTTTGAAATGTTTATTAACTTTTTGAATGCATTAGGTGACATACAGTTATCAGGGGCTGCGATGCGCCTATTGTCTTTACCCATTGTAAAGTTTTCTATTCTAAAAACATAAATAAAGTACATTATGTGACACAAATTTTTAAAAAATTTAACGTACAAATTCGAAAATATTTACATAAAGTATGAAGATAGCTGCAAAATAAATTATACAATGCCTTACAGAAGACACAGACTTCACTTTGTTACATTCAAATTTCATAAAGTGGATACGATATTGAGTACAGAAAATCGAAACTCAATGGTGCAACATTGCCATTTTAAGAAATTAGCCGCCAAGTAAACATGAGCATGTTTTATATACAGTTCATTTCACTTCATCATGAAGCAATAACCAACTGTTTCATGGTAGAAGGTCCTAGCACCAGGGTACCTGGGCCGAAGGCCATACCCCTTATCGAACAATGTGGGTATTTATTAATTTTGCAAGCCATAAAGTGAAAAGTATAATGTAAACAATGATAAAAATTTTGAAGTTGGGAGTGCTGCTAGAAATTTAGAATTGCTCTTCTCTTACATGCACCCTAAGATCACCAAATGTGGCGATATGGGTTCTGCACTAGTTTTTGGCACGATTGCGTGTTGTATGGCAACCCTTTTGACGTTGAATACTCTTTTGCTGGATTGTTTTAATTGCTCGTTGGTTCATGTCATGCGTGTTTTGAAACAGCCTATGTTGCAATGAGAGACGTGGTTGCAAGAAGGTCTGGGAGATTATTTTTAGCGGCTGTGCATGATAGAAGTAAGGAAACGCTGATGCAGTGTATTAAAGAGTGGATTGAGCCTTGTACAACTATTTTTTTAGGATGGCTGGAAATTTTACAGGACAGTTTTGAACATTTATTTGTGAACCATAGTATGAACTTTTTGGATAGTGTGTCTGGCTGTCATATAAATACGATAGTGATTACGTAGCGGCATGAAATTGGTATTTCTGCTGTTCGAAAAATGGTAAGGGAATTTTATTTTATTCATGGTGAGGACATTTTTATTTTATTCTTGTTCTTATTTTGTAGAATGTTATGTTCATTGTTTTTTTAGTATGAATTTATGTTGTTATTGTAGTTTTTTGAATTATTTGTAAATTTATTTTAGTTTATTTTGTTGATTAGTGCGTAGTGCCTAGAATGCGAAATTCGTAGATGCTTTTTAAAGTTCAAACAGAATGCCGTGTAGTCTTTGAAATTTATTGCTGCTATGTTAGTTTATTAAAGCGAGGTGTGCGTAGCTCGTAGATTCTTTCACTGTCTAGATTGTGCAATGCATAGATATTTTTTAAGTTAAAAGATATCGCTGTGTACATGGATTCTAGTCAAATATTTTTGGTTAGAAACTACGTTTTTGTTATCTAATTTTTTTTGTTTCAGATTTTTTAGCTTAAATTGTGTGTTCAAAATGTGGGTTTTGCATGTGCAAAAACTGTTTTTGGAGACATTTTAGGCTTAAAGTTTGAAACGTAGACAAAAAATTTAGATAGTAATATAGCACCGTGGAGTTTCTCGCCAAAAATGTTTGACGAGAAATTTTGGCAACTTGAGGACGCATATAAGAGTAGTTCCTTTAGAATAAACATTAAGAATTTTCACCTCTCGACTGGCAAGAAACCAGTCGAGAGGTGAAAATGCCAAAGCATCCTGGGAAGTTGTTGGAGCTGGTGACTTGAAATACTTTACAGTACAGAAGCATTCGGTGAGATATAAATTGGGAATTAAGTTAAGTATATACTGTAGATTAAGACACTGGTAATATAACTGTACTTTTAAGATGGGAAATAAATTTACTGAAATAAGTGGGGTGACAATCATAAGCTATGTCAATATACAAGAGTGGAAACCAGTAACCAGCCGAGAATAGAATAGGTTATTTATCAAGATACATACATAATAATTCTAACAAGATATAGAATATATATATTTTTAAAGCTTATATATAAGAAATACTATACGCTGTCATCACTTTGCATAATTATTTCTTCAAATATGTTAAATAGTAGGAAAAGTTTGTCAATTGGGTTTTCTGTCGATTGAATCTCTGGCATTTTGGCAGAAATTTTCATAATTACATTAGTTAGTAAGAGTCCTTTGAACAGATTACTTATTTCTTTAAGAAAGTTGAAAACTTCACTCGGGGAACTCAGGTTAAGTTGTTGCTATTATTTTTGTTTACATCAGAATTAGTTGGTTCTGATGAATGTCTATTAGCCTTGCTGCCATTTTGGGTAATATTTGCATAAGATATGCCATTAGTGACCTGACAATACTGAGTTTTTATGGACTTCGTAATTGTAATTTTGTCATTATTCAAGAGAAGATTAGAATTGTTTTTGCTAGGTTTAGGGAACTTGGAACCACCCCTGAAATTGGCGGTATGTCCCTCTTCCAAACAGTTACTACATCAAATCTCTTAGCTATGCATTCAGAAGTCTTATGATCGCCAGCGTACTTGACGCAACACAGTCTGAATTTGCAAGTATCCGAATTGTGATGGAAGTGCTGGCAGTTATATGACTGCACAACACTTCCATTCACTTTATATTCAACAAATTCTACACAGAAAAGTAACAAGTATTTGATTGCATAAATTTTTTCGACCCCTGGAACGTTTTCTATTTGGATTTGGAATCGTGGCATGGGCACCTTAGTCTTTAGCCTGTGCATTTGGGTTATTTTCCTCACTTTAAATCCTAAATTAAATACGGTACAAAATCCAAAAGTCTATTATCCAGAATGATCTAAAATCCGGACGTCAAAACCACCAACATTTTTCTGGTAGGCTTTACACATGCGCATTTGATTCCCCCCCTCCATGCATAATAAAACACCTGGAGAGTCCTGATTCTTATTTTCACTTGGCCACAAAATACATTACCTTGTTATTGAAGAAGCAACCATTTTAGCATAAATTTGTACGATCAGTAATTTGGTTCTGTTGCTTGGCACATATCTCAAACTGAAACATTCCACATAGATACATCATTCATCTGATGCCAGTCTGGTGAATAATTATTTATTATACTTTTCTTTCATCACCACATGTTTATCAAAACATTGCCACTTCTTGACTCATGCAGCGATACCTAATCAATTTTTTTTTATGTTAGTAATTGAATAATAAAGGAGTACAGTAACCTTTTATGTTGACATTATGCTTGACGATAATTACACATTTAAGTTAAATGCACTAAAAATTGTTGATGAGGAAAATTTTACCAAAAATTTCTCTCCCTATGCTAAAAATAGATTTTGTTGATGATACTCATTACCCAAAGATTACATTTAGAGCTATTTGAATTAAGAATAATTGATTTGTTCTTCACATAAACCCAGAACCAGTGCCAGGGCTCATATGGACGCACAGAGTCACAAAATTTAGGACCCACAGAGTCACAAAATTTAGGACCCACAGAGAATGGATCAGGTGGTAAGATATCTAGCACCAGCCCTCAATAAGGCTTACGTATTTATGGCTCTACTCTTATATGCACCCTATTATGACCAAATGTGGCAATATGTGTTCTGAACTGGTTTTTGGTGCAACTGTGTGCTGTATGGCAACCCTGTTGACGTTGAAAAATCTTTTGCTGAAGAGGTTTCATTGCTCATTGGTTCGTGTCCTGCGTGTTTTGAAATGGCCTATGTTGCAATGATAGGCATGGTGGCAAGATTTCAGACACGTATTTTAGATTGTGTGGAAAGTAAATTTAGTATTAAAAGGTACAATGTTGGAGTTAACAAAGGTGAATCGCAAAACAAAGGTGAAATTTTCCAATTAACGGATTTTGTAAAGAAATTTGGAGATGCGGTAATAAATGAAGATGATATGAAATAAGTTTTTCAGTGTAATGACAATGCTTCTCAATCATCAATTTAATTACTGAATGGTGAAATCTGTAGTATGGTTCTAGATCCAGAAAATACCACAACTGATAATGAAGAAAGTGACAGAGAAGTTACTGAAAACGAGAAAATTTCGATTGATAAGTTAGTCGGAATTCTCGAAACAGCAGTTACAGGACTTCAACAATGTTACTAAACAAGAGATTATGTCTGTCTACAGAATTAAAGAGAAAGTATAAGTACAAAAAAACGAAGCAACTTAAACAACTTGCATTGAAAGAAATGTTTAATAAACTAAACAAATAAATATTAAGCTTTTTTTTGTAAATTTTGATACCCTTTAGATCATAAATACTTCATTATTTCATAAATCGCGATTTCATATTATATTTTTAATTTTATAATTTCTACATGCCATCTTACTAGATTTAAACTGATGATCTAATATCTGGAAAAATCCCAAATCCAGAATCGCCGAAGTCCCGATTTCGGACTTTGTGCTGTAGTTCATGAATGTCATTGATGGGACAATCTAGCGGAAGACCTCTTACAACTTCCTTTACTGTTCATTCATAATTCTTTGTAATGAGGTAGTGATCCACTTTTAATTGGTCTAAATAATTAGTGATATCTCCACGATCATCTTCAGAAATTAACCTTACCAGTTAATTCAGTTTCCTGTCTCATTTTTTTCAGAAATTCCAAGTACTTGATATCAGGCTTAGCCATTATGGGTTTAATTTTTGGAGCGACAACATCAATAATTTTTGTTTCCATAACATTTTTATTATCTGCAACATCTTTGGATAAATTGTCGAATTTATTGCTTAGAGGGATTCCAATGTTACTTTTGATTAACATAGATGGCCGGGCCCTTTTTTTGGGCTAAGTGAAGCCATCAGCATCTAAGTATTGTATTATGGAGTGTTTGCTTGATTTTTTGGACGGCTGTTTAGGCATAGGGGTTTTGGAAGTCACAGTATTTACATCAATCAGTATCAGAAATTGGTAGGTTGAGAATACATTTTTCATTTGTATTCATAATACAATCATCATCCATAACCTTAGTATCATTAGAATTAGCATTATTAATGGGGTTTCCATTAATTGGAGATACATTATTAGGGATAGCATGTAATATACTATTACCAATTTTAACATAATCAGATTGTACTTCACCGAATGCTTTGCACTTACTTTCGAATAATATGAGTAATCGTTCGCAGATTGCTCTTTTCCTTGTGCGGTAAAGTGCAGAATCGCCCACTTATTTGTTTTGCATTTTTTACAAGAGTAAGAATTGGATTTTTGTCAATTTTCTTTGACTTTTAAGTGAAAATAGGTCAATGTGTACATGGATAAAGTCAAGTAAGTGCGGCATGCCATTTTTGTGCAATTCTAAGATGTCTTTTTAAGTGAAAATAGGTCGATGTGTACATGGATAGCGAGTATATGCAATTCTTAAAAACGCGCCAAGCAGTGGGCGATTCTGTACTTTCCCCTTCTTTTGTAGTGGTCCATGTTAGCAGGCATTAAGGCCGGTTTGAAAACAGCGAACACATCCAGGGTTTGATTGATTACGGTCATATAATTCAGAAGTTTACGAGCAACCGCTCTAGCATCATCCAAGGGGGGAATTCTTTTCCCCCATTTGAAATAATCCAAAATAATCCAAGGGAAGCACTTATAAGCTCATCACAATTCAAGCAAACACCATCAAAAGCCGAATCATAAATGAAATAATTCAGATTTTCCAAGAGCACGAAGCTCGTGTGATAAGATCTCGGCAATTTCGTCACCGCACATCGACTGGATTCTCGCAATAACCAACATACAATTTGGCTAAAATTCAATTATAAAGCATGGCGTAAAATTATATGCACTATTTTATAAAATGTACAAAAAAAAAAAAAAAAAAAAAAATTCAATCTAAAAAACATGCCCATACAGGCAACATACTCTTTAGCTCTTTATCCTTCTAGCTTTTTTGATCACTACTTCTAAAGTTTGCACTATTGTTTATAAACATTCCCAGCGATTGCAATCCATAGGAATAATCACATACATTCTTTGCTATTTATCACGTGGCCGCGTCCAGAATGTTTAGAATCTTTTACTACATAGTATTATAATTAATGCACTTAGAAGAGATTTTTACTAATTCTTTTTTAATTTATCTTACTTTCGGTGCAGGATTTAAGTATAAGCTACGCAAGCTTACGAATAAGTTTAGGCCTCCCCCCTGAAAAAAAATTAAAATATAGTATAAATATAATATTAAAATAAAATATAACCAAGGTCAACTAGATCTAGATGGATATCTAGTTGGACTTGGTAAAACAGACTTATAAAGGGCTAAATATCTCAAATAGCTTAGGGCCTCATCAAGTCTAAATCTGGCCCAGTTTACTTTAAAAAAAATATTTGAGCAATATTTTTCATAAATTTTTGGAATACATTGTTATATTTTAGCTGTTTCTCAACCACTTTAAATTATTAAAGGATCTGACTAATATTCAAAGGATAATAATTCATCTCAATTAACGGATAATGGATACAATATTATTGTACGATATGTATATTCTTTGGTCAGATGAAGATTCTTCCTCTGAATACTGTCATTGGGATTTTCAATCATAAGATGAAAGTGATCTTGTGTTTTAAACTTTTAAATGAATTAAGTGTCCTTTTCGAACTATGACATAAATAATTAGTTAAAATTGCATTTAATTTATTGTTAAAATAATGAATTTACGTGAATCTACATTTCTTAATTAGTATTAAAGAGTTGTATATTTAATGTAATATGTATTTACGGAATTCTCCAAATATTTGTATAGCTGTATTCTTAATTACATTCTTTTCCTGTGCATATGGAACGAAGCGTGATGTAAGTATTGCTTAATTTGATCAAGAACAACAGAAGAAATCGTTAATACTTACCTTTGAAATACTATAATGAAATTCGTAATAGATATTCATTATGTTAAATTATATAGTTTCATATTTTGTAGTCATTCCGTATTTTTAATAAAGAACTCTTATGTTACAGATACACTGCACCATTTATCATGCCTTTGATAAAAATGAAAGTAAAGAAAATGTGGATGTATTCCATGTGTCTGCTACAGGTTCTAAAGATACAGTTCATTATCTATGGAGCTCTTATAAACTTCCTAGTGTAATTATCGCAAGAACAACGAGTGATACTTTGCTAAATGTTAGCCTATCAAAACTTCGTACATTTGTAACTGATGCAATAAAATTCAGCGAAACCCCTATCGAGTACGTTGGGCTTACAATTTCAGAGGTATTTTAAGTTTTGTATCATATTGTAGTGTTTTATTGGATAAACTGAAATTAATAAATGCATAAATAAAGGATTTGGTTAATATGAAAGACATTAAACATTCTTTAAATAATTGATGTAGACAGTTTGTGATGCAGTAAATTTCAATATTTTATTACTGCTGTATTCTTACAAGTATAAGCCTTAATTTGGGGAAAGTGCAGAATGACCCACTGCTTGGCACGTTTTTAAGAATTACACATACTCGGTATCCATGTACACATCAACATATTTTCACTTAAAAACACAGATGCCATGTACGCATCGACCTATTTTCACTTAAACAGTCAAAGAAAATTGACAAAAATCCAATTCTTCTTACTCTTGTAAAAAGCGCCCAAACAAATAAGTGGGCGATTCTGCACTTTAGCCTTTAATTTTTACCTCTAATTGAAAAAATATTCTCACATAGCCTGTTTATCGTCTACAATATTTATTTTTATTTTGGAGGTGTGAAAGTAGCTGAAATAAAAATCGTAGGTACAACTCTGATATACGCCCTAATTTCACCAAATGTGGCGATATGTGTTCTGCACTGGTTTTTGGCGCTATTGCGTGTTTTGTATGGCAAACCTGTTGACGTTGAAGAATCTTTCACTGGAGTTCGTTAGTTCGCATCATGCTCTATGTCTGAGAAGCTAAAATGGTGGAAGTTGTTGAATTGAAGTTCGGTAAAAGGAAATATCGTCGTGGCCATTCTGTTGAAGGGCAGTGGGTATTTGGAGGTGTGGAAAGAAGGTCTGGGAGATTATTTTTAGTGGCTGTGCATGATAGAAGTAGGGATTTGTGATTATTTGTTAATTTATTTTATTTGTGAACTAAAGTATGGATTTTCTAGATAGTGTGTCTGGGTGTCATATAAATCCGATAGTGATTACGTGGCGGCATGTTAAAGGCGGTATGAAATTGGTATTTCTGCTGTTAGAAAAAGCATTGATTGATGGTTAGTGCATTTTATTTTATTCTTGTTCTTATTTTGTAGAATGTTATGTTCATTGTTTTTGTAGTATGAATTTCTGTTGTTATTGTTTTTTTTAATTGTTTGAAATTTATTTTAGTTGTTTTGTTGATTAGTGCGTATCGTCTAAATTGTGCAATTCGTAGATGTTTTTTTAAGTTGAAACAGGACGCTGTGTATATGGTATTCTTTGAAATTTATTGTTAATTTATTAATGTGAGGTGTGCATAGTTTGTAAATTCGTTTGTTGCCTAAAATGTGCAATTCGTAGATGTTTTCTTAAGTTGAAACAGGACGCTGTATACATGATATTCTTTGAAATTTATTGTTATGTTAATTTATTAAAACGAGGTGTGCATCGTTCGTAGATTCGTTCATTGCCTAGATTGTGCCATTCGTAGATGTTTTTTGAAGATAAAACATATCGCTGTGTACATGGACTCTTGTCAAATAATTTTGGTTAGAAACTTTACGTTTTTGCTATTTAAATTTTTTGTTTTTGTTTCGGATTTTTAGCTAAATTGTGTGTTCAAAACGTAGATTTTGCATGTGCGAAAACCGCGTTTTTGGAGACATTTTAGGCTTAAAGTTCGAAATGTAGACAAAAAATTTAGATAGCAATATGGCAGCGTGGAGTTTCTTGCCAAAAATGTTGGGCGAGAAATTTGGTGACTTGAGGGCGCATATCAGAGTAGTTCCAAATCGTATTTTGACACACTGACAAAATTTTTATTTTTGGTGGAAAGGAATATACTTCTGCATTTAGCATCTCTAATTCACTGAAAACTGTCAGAGTTGTCTGGAGTCTAATATTTGTTTTGACTTGGGTTTAATATTTATCTAGTCTGCAGTCTAGAATATAGTTGTCTGTAGTTTACTAGTATCACTCTTACCAGTATTCCACATCATGTCAGCATAACCTGCAACCATGGCTAAACTTGAACAGTCCTATGTAATGTTCACCTCGCAACAATGGATTTTGAACTCTATCATTGAGCATATACTGCTGTGTTGCCATATGTTTCTATCTACTTATTTCTAATCATTTGCATGGAAGTACTCTGATATGCGCCCTCAAGTCGCCAAATTTCTTGCCAAATATTTTTGGCGAGAGACTTCACGCTGCCATATTACTATCTAAATTTTTTGTCTACGTTTGAACTTTTAGCCTAAAATGTCTCCAAAAACGCGGTTTTTGCACATGCAAAAACTACGTTTTGAACACACAATTTAGCTAAAAATCCGAAACAAAAACAAAAAATTTAGATAGCAAAAACGTAAAGTTTCTAACCAAAAATATTTGACAAGAATCCATGTACACAGCGACATGTTTTAACTTAAAAAAACATCTACGAATTGCACAATGTAGGCAACGAACGAATCTACAAACTACGCAGACCTTGCTTTAATAAATTAACATAACAATAAATTTCAAAGAATACCATGTACACAGCATCCTGTTTAAACTTAAAAAAAATTCTACGAATTGCACAATTTAGGCAAGGAAGGAATCTACGATCTACGCACTCCTCGCTTTAATAAAATAACATAACAACAATAAATTTCAAATAATACCATGTACACAGCGTTCTGTTTCAACTTTAAAAAACATCTACGAATTGTACAGTCTAGACACTAAACAACAAAATAAACTAAAATAAATTTCAAACAATTTAAAAAAACAACAATAACGACAGAAATTCATACTAAAGAACCAATGAACATAACATTCTACAAAATAAGAACAAGGATAAAATAAAATGCACTTACCATGAATTAATGCGTTTTCGAATAGCAGAAATATAAATTTCATACCGCCTTTAACATGCCGCCACGTAATCACTATCGTATTTACATGACAGCCAGACACACTATCCAGAAAATTTATACTATGGTTCACAAATAAATAAAATCACAAATCCCTACTTCTATCATGCACTGCCATTAAAAATAATCTCCCAGACCCTCTTTCCACACTTCCAAATACCCACTACCCCTCAACAGGATAGCCACAATCATATTTCCTTTTGCCGAACTTCAATTCAACAACTACCATTTTATCTTTCCCTCCCATCTTCTCAGACACAGAGGCGAACCAACGAGCTCCAGCGAAAGATTTTTCAACGTCAACAGGGTTGCCATAGAACACGCAATCGCGCCAAAAACCAGCGCAGAACACATATCGCCACATTTGGTGAAATTAGGGCGTATATTAGAGTTGTACCATTTGCATGTATAAGCTACATCCCTGAATTTCATCAGCTTTTCTGTGAAAAAAAAGTATAGCTTATACTTACGAGAATACGGTATAAACATTTATTATTTATAAAAAGTTATGAAAAGTAGAATTTTCTATGAGTTTCAGCATTAACATTTTCTTCAACTATGCAGTATGTGAAAACAGAACTTTTTGTGACATTTTTTATACAATAGGAGTTTTGAACAGTGTATTTGCGATTATAAAGTCCAGAGTGTCGATGACCTCTGATGACTGCCTGCTTCTCCTCTCCTTGAGCCGTGTCACTACCTGTTCTCCTTTGAAGAATCCGAGACGTGCCAAGAAATGTAGTTCAGTGATCGCCTTGTGATTCTCGAGAAATGTAGTCCAGTGATTGATTGCCTTGTGATTTTTTGCACTGAATTTTCATGAAATTTGGTTATCTAAGAAGGACAGCTTCACAGAAAGGAAATTTTTGCATTCTCTATCGTTGGACCAAGTGTTCCTAACAGAATCTGTATTGAAATCGAGGAAATTTTAAAAGGGCTCAGTTGGGATTTGATAGTCAAATATGCACCAGCAATTGATCAACATGTAAAGTATATTAAAATTTTATAACAGTTATTTTAATTTAATGAACCTTTGCTGTCTTATCTAGTTTCAACTTATAACTTCCTACCAGAATGAGTATTTAGAATCGTGTTGAATGCAAATTAGCAAGAGAATAGTATAACTAAAGTTGAACTGACTTCGATGGAGAGTTGGGATTCCTGAGTAGCGAACGTTTGCCTTTTGCACTACATCTCTCTAAGCTGTTGTAGTCTCAGCCATATTATTACGTGCCTTTTGATAGTTCACCGATTAGTTTAAGATTATAGGCCAGGCTAAATCTCTTAGTTCTTACTTCTCACTTTTGAGTTTAAACCCAAGCAGAGGCTTTACTGTACGCTTGGAGAAAGGGTCCGACTGTTAATCTTATTTTGAGTGAATAAAGGGTAATTAATCCTTCTTGCTTTCTGTTCTTGGAAGTAACTGATTATTCACTTAGCATTTCACTAGATTCCTCGATGCTTAATTTAACAGAGTAAAAGTAAGGAACTCTATAAGCATAATCAAGGTCCCATTGATTATGAAAAAGTTTTATAGACAAAATTGATAATTGGATGCTTATTGATCAAGGAAGAAAGCCTATAAAATAATTCTTAAAAATATAAGAAGCACTATGAAGAAAGTGCCTATTTTTAGTGAAAATAAATATGCATTCAGCTCTTATACAGTTAATGAATTAATTAAAGATTCAAGTCCATTGGACCCATCAGTGGCTAGCAATTGCACATTGAATGTTAAAAATCGATAACTGAGAAAACCGACCCTGGTGGTGATGCATGCTTGCAAACATTAAAGTAAGGAGTGATGAAGATTCCTTATCTCATCTTACAATACATTCTGCCAGACATTCCTCAATTGTTGCTCTAGCTCTGTTTCATTTTGGGTTGCATGAATCTAGTGGCCTATCATATCCCATAAATATTAGTTTGGCGAAAAGTTTTATGACCTTGATGGCCAAAGAAGAGTATCAACAGCTGGAAGACAGTCTAGAGATATGTGAACCATATGAAAATTAGCATCATCCTGTTCGAAAATGGCTCTAGCAGGGCGTAAGGTTAATACAAGCTGTCACAGGATGTCATCAACATATCATTCAACGGTTAACACTATATGCAGGATGACTAGTGTTAGCCTGCTGTCATGAGAGATATCACCTCCACAGCATCATACCAGGAGTGATGGCTGTGTGTCTGTAAAATAAAGGCCAATTGGGACTACTAGTCTTGGTCTCTACACACATAAACCCAATGTTCATCTGCTCCTTGATTGTAGTAGGATTCATTGCTGAATGCTATGTGATGCCAGTCAACTGGCAGCCATGATAATCAAATTTATGATGTAAAATAAGAGAGGGTAAATTTTTTTGAAGGAGGGGATTTAAGAATTAAGCAGTATTATGCCATATAATAAAATAAAATAAAAAATAAAAATGTATCAGTACATCAAGTTTAACCATCCCAATAATTGATATCAAGCTTTTGTACTATTAGAATCTGCAATTTTGTTTTGTTCATGTTTATAGAATAAAAAATAATAATAATACAAAAATCACAAATTAAATCAAATAAACCATTTTTTTTTCAAAACTTTTTGTTTACATTCTTAGTTTAATTGTTATGTTTAAGTTTATTTATATACAGTTACTTATTATGATTGGATTGTATGCTGTATATTACAGAGTAAACTGTGAGAGGTAATGAAGAAAACCGTTATTTTAAAAGGAATTGATGCAAGATAAGTGTTGAGAACACTTGTGTTAGACAAAGCATCATATTCCTACAGAAATGCAGTGGTTTCTTTTCATCAAGCAAACTCATTAGCCCCATTATGACTTGTTATGAGAAAAACATATATGGGTTAACCTTTGGATTATGGTAACTTGACGATTTTTTGGCGAACAAACCTGCTACAGCAACCTACTAGTTTTTGTTTCGACGGCATTTTGTTTCCACGAAGTAAAGGCATGTTTTTTTTTTTACTCAACATTTTTTTCCGACAATCTGCTAGCCGAATTACGCTTATGCTTGAACTTTTATGGAACAAAAATGCTTAATCATGACGAAGATTAGGTGCGAAATTGGGAGAAAGTGCAGAATCGCAAACTGCTTGCCGTGTTTTTAAGAATTGCACATACATGGTATCCATGTACCGTTGACCTAGTTTCACTTAAAAAAACATCCCAGAATTGCACAAAAATGGCATTGCTCACACTCTTGGCTTTATCCATGTAGACTGCTAAAGTCCTAGCTATAGTAACCTGTATCACCTTACCAAAATGTCACCAAACTACCTGTTACCATATTCCAAAGATTAGCCCATATATGCTTAATACAAAAAGCAAGAGAGAAAAATAACAAAAGTGCAAATCCATGTGTATTTCAACAGCTGTATGTTATGGACATCTCTGGGTTGGCCATATAAATACTTCTTGATGACATCCTTGTTTACCATGTAACTATTTTGACAGCATACTGCATTGCTTCATGAATTTTTTTTTTTGTGAATTTCTGTTTGGGGATGCAAATAATCATAAGTACCTTTTTTACTAAGCACTGAATATTGCCATGGAATTTTTATTGAGATGTAGTTTCTTTATTTGTCTTCCAGAATGTGCTTTTATTTATCTTAACCATCCAGATTTTCATTGGAGACTAGTGCGTGTTTGTGGTGGGGGAGGGTAATCAGAAAGTACCAAATATCAATTTGCTGTGTTAAGAGTATATGCAGTTTGCTAAAATTTTGCCATTAAATTCTGTTTTGAGAAGAACAGACATTTAAAAATTATAAAATAAGCTTCATAAATAGTCGCAAAAATATGGGTTTGAGAATAGAAACTCAAATACTAATAAATAAATGAAATATAATAATACAGAGGCTAGCAATAAATGATACTCTAAAATGAATAGGAGGTCAGATGCTGAGTAAACTGTGTAAGGTGGTATCATTACAAAGTTACACTTCAAAACTGTAATATTTTGACTATAAATAATATAGAAGAACAGATTGGGAGGGTCAGCAAGAGAAGAGAATACCAGTAGCTGTAACTTTCTCTCGATGTACATCTTTACTTTGACATGCATTCTCTTGAATTTCATTATTTTTTTAATCATAAATTATTAAATAAAATAATTGTAACATGAGATACTTGCCATGTTACAAGAAGCCTACAGGAAGGATTCTTTGTCCAAGGCTGAAGTCTTTAGGTGGCACAAAACTATCGATGACGGAACAGAGGACATTGATGATGAATAATGTGGGCTGGACGTCCATCAAGTTCTCAAACTTCAGACAATTTGGCTAAAATTCAAGTGCTCTTGGACTCTGATTGTTGGATGAGTGTCTGAATAATTTCGAAAATCTTGGGACTTACAAAATCGATTGTTTATCAAATCATCAGGGAAGAACTTAAAATGTGAAAAATTTGTGCCAAATTGGTTCCAAGGATTTTGATCAATGGAAAGAAAACTTTGAATATGAATTATTGGAGTGTGTAATGAGTAACCCTGTTTTTTTAAGTGAGTGATTACTGGTGACAAAACATGAGTTTTTCAGTAGGATCCTGAGACAGAGTGACACCCCCCCCACCCAATCTCATCATGACGCTAAAGTCCATGTTCGTTGCCTTCTTTGACACATCTTTGACAAGGGAATAGTGCACAAAGACTTGCCACCTGGACAGACAGCTAATGCAATTTTTTAGAAGAAAGTGCTTCAGAAGATGAGGACTCTAACCAGGCATAACTGCTTGAAGCTCACAAACGATTGGATTTTGCATCATGATAATGTGCTAGTCCACACCTCCTTCAAAGTGACTCAGTTCCTGACAAAACACAGCATCGTAATGCTGCTCCCACCATCTTACAATCCCGATCAGTCATCACCGGAGTGTGATATTCCCTCGGTTAAAATCTTAAAGGTCATCGTTTTGACAATCTGGAGAACTTGTAGAAAAACATAACTTGTTCTGAACAGCATTCCAGTTGAAGACTTTCAGGTGGGCATCAATGGATGGTAGAGTCACTGGCAACAATATATTAATACAGGAGAAGGCTATTTTGTAGAATATTAAGTACCTGTAAAATTATCTTCAAATAAATGAATTTTATGGAATCAGTCTCATTACTTTATGGACAGACCCTGTATGATGTTGCTGGGTATATGCTGTGCTTTGCAATTTAAATTTGCATGGGCGAGTATAAAATCGCCAGTCAACAGGATAATTCATCTTTAGTTATGAGCCAAATTTGGACTGATGTGGTTATATAAAAGTACCTAATAAAGTTATCTTATTATACATCACTTTTAATGTTTTTTCCAATATATATATATATGTATATATTTTTTTCAGTTGCTAACAATTCTAGATTGAGTAACTCAAGGAACTAAGATTTACTAAACCTTTTGTAATTTTGTGTAAATTATACTAAGTAACTTTTTGTAATTAAAGATGACTTCTGTAATTATAATAAGATATAACTCCATAGGTGGATTTTAGAATATAGTCTTTTGAGGTAATGAAATCTGTTTAAATTATGGTTTCTAAAATATTCCTCATAAAGGAATGATCTAAATATTTTGATTTCTTAAAAGTAATGTTGGAATTCTTATTGGTTGCATTTCTTTTATTATTATTTTACTGTTATAAATGTGTACTTATGTAATAAATGAACATTTATTTTATGATGCAGTAAATTTGATTAACTTCTTTCTTCTTTTTAAAAATTTTTTAATATAGCTGTTAGAATTCACATATAATAGTGATACAGCAGAAGTGAATCATCCAAATTCTACCAGAAAGTTAAATTTAGAATCATTTTTGTGGTCAAGTATGAATGATTCATATAGTTGTTCTCCTAAGGCAGCCAGCACAAAATTGAATTCTTATGACAACGATGATGATTTCAGCAAAAATGGGACATTTCAAGTTCAGGTATGTTTCACTTGTTAAATACTTAATGTTATTTTTCATTGTATTACAGCCAGTATTGTAAAAGTTTGCTTTTAAATACTGTGTTGCTTAATTTTGCAGAACTGGAATAAAGAAGTTATAGCCAATTAACTATTTATAAACCTTTAATCAGGCAAATATTCATATGTATTTTTATATTCAACCATAGTATTTTTTATTTTTAACAAAATTAAATAATAAGCTTAATATGTGATATAGTATTTCAGTTCTTTTATTAAAGTTAATGGAAAGAGTTAATAGAATAGTTTTAACATATACAGCTGAACTTCAGTTTTCCAGGAAATAGGGTACTCCATAAGAATAAAGTAACCAGATATTTCTGAAATTACTTCAGGACAAGACATTTCTGGGGACTGTGAGGGAGGCACAAATTTGTTTGGAGAATAATCTTGTCATTTTAAGAACTGGAGCAGTTAATCGGTTTTTACCAATTAATGTCATGTTACAGTGTATCTATCTAAATATATTTCTAGAATCTAATTAAAATGAATGATTTGGTAAAATTATTTTCTTTTATTTACCCTAGAATAAGAAACATAAATTCTCTTCCAGTGACCCTAAATTTTTAAGTGACTTAACAAAAATGACTTAGTCAGTGCTGAATTATCTGTACTTGTTTAAGCAAAAAAGTGAATTAGAAAAGAGGGGGTTGTAGTTTTAGTTGAGAATAACAAAAGTAAAATCTTTGTATTTATTAGCTTTCTTCAAATTATATCTGAATAAAGAATAGCTCAATAGTTACAAATGCAAAAACTGATTAGTGGCAAAGCCACAAAGGAATGACTTTGGGCTGTATTTATGGAGTTGAAGGGGCTGGCTGTACGACGTATTACTGCTTTTTCTCATATGTTATGTAAATATCTACTAAGTTCTCTTAGATTAAAAACAAATCCAGATAAGAGCAACTATCCTCAAAGTCAACTTGAACAATTCTTTCAGTGGTTCAGTTTAAGACAATGGACAATAACAGTCTCAGTTTAAAAACACAACAGTAATTAATTTATTCACAAGTTACTAAAGCAGAGCACGAGTGCTATCTTGCCGGTAATTATTAGGGCTGGTGACTCTCTTACAAGCATTTAATACATCTAGTTACAATACAAAATTCTAATTGTAACTTGAAGAAATGGGGAAGGTAGAGCATCTTCTGTAGGTGTTTTGCAAGGCTCTCCACCTAAACTCTTTAACACAGATTTTCTAACCAATAATTATCAATATCTGTTAGTTTGATTTACATCAGTCACACTGCAGCAAAGGAATTCTCATATTTTTCATATGATCTTCCAAACAAGTTTATCCATACAAAGGTTTCCTGAGTAAACTATTATTATAAATAATAGATGAATAAAAATACTATTAGCAGTAATAATTAAAAGAATACTAAATGAAAAATTAGAATTAGATGTATACAATAAAGAACAAAAAGAAGGATTTAATGTTATGAGCAACATATTGCTCCTAAGTTTTTCGATTCAGTCATTGAGCTCTAAATTGTAAATTAATTGATCCAGTCTTCTTATTGGTCCAGTGCCAGTTTTGATCGAACTTGAGCGAACTTTGCCATCCTTTCCTGTGAGAATTTCTATAATTCTACCCAGAGACTACATATTTCTACGGTAATGTTCTTCATTGATTAACACTATGTCTTTTGGTTTGAATTCATTCCACATATCAGCAGATCTTAAATTCAATAAAGAACCTTTTTGCTAGCATTTCTAAAAGTTATTTAACACATTATCTTGAATTTTAAATTTTTTCACGATGGATTTTCTCGATTCTAATAAAATCATCCTTAGATATTCTCAAATGGATAGCAAAGTTCATTGAGATAGAGCAGTGAATGGCCAACAATTTTTCTAAGACTTGCTTTGATTGTTCTGATAATTTTACCTCGGAATCCTTCCCATCATGCTTCCCTTTCAGCTATAAACTTCCAAGGAATATTGTAAGAAGAAAAAATTCTTTATGGAAGGATCAGAAATATAGTTCTACAATTTTTTTCAGTTCAGTGTCTGCATGCTTGAATAATAATGCATTATTGCTGTATTTTGTTGAACATAGTCCTCGTCAAGCTATGAATCATTTAAAGGCTAACAAGAATGCTTCTATATTCATGAAAGGTACCAGTTCTAAATGGATGGCATGAGTCAACTGTGCAGGTAAATGCTAGAAGGTAATGTTTGCGGTTGTTCTCTTTAGAGAAAAGTGGTCTGATATAGTCCAGTCCAGTTACAGCTAATGATGGTGATTGAAGAATTCAAAGCAGAGGAAGTGGAGCTATATCTTGAATTCCAGGGTGAATATTATATCTTTTGCAAATTATGCATCTGCTCAACAGGGATTTAATTCATTGTCACCCTTTGACTACCCAAAATTTTTCACGCAGGTGTGTCCACTCTGGAATGGAAGAGCCTGTCATGGACTGTAGAATTCTTTTCATGTTCTTTCATGTGCATTGAAAGTTAAAAGGTCGATGTATTGACACTTTGACAGCAGTATCCATGGATGCAAATTGTATTCTGCTTTTTAACTGTAGAATTTGCTTTTTGTCGAGCCCAAGATTCAGCGAGTACATGTTGGACCCTTTGCCAACTGTGAGATTTATTGAGGATGTCTTTCTTGAAATACTGAAATTGATTGTTTTTAATTCACTATTTTTCCACATTCATTATTTCAGCAGCAGCTAATGATCCACAAAGTCTTTTGAATCTAGAGTTAGAATTGTTAATGAAACTATACACGCATGCTGTTAGTTGCTATACCTTACTTAATTTTCTAAATTTATTTAAATTTAGCAATGGATTAGAAGTTTGCAGGATGCTCTTGTTCTTGCAGGAGAGTGTTTCTCATTTCTACGGATATCTCTTCCTCATTTGCTTCCATTTTTTATACTTTAGGCCATAAATTTTCAGTCTCAAGAAGCCAGCTTGGTTTGTTTTGCAATAACAGGCTTGAGATGATCTTAAAGTAGATGTATTTCTAAGCATACTTGCAAAAAATTACAGTATTTTATTCAAAATTTCTGAATGGAGATATACGTGAATTTATATTTTAGCGCGTTTTGAAATTTGGAATATTTGTTGAAAGCGATAATAACATCAAATGTGGTTTAGGCACTTTGTTAAGACTATTTGAAAATGGGAAGGATGTGAATTTTTTCTGCTCATGCACAGTGTAAAAATGTAGGAACGATATGACTTTTTTTTTCCGCTCCTGCACAATGGAAGAGAAAGGAAAATAAGTCGCCATACATTAAGAAATTCGCCAATTCTCGGCGCAAACTGAAAGAAATGTGCCAAGATAAGTTTTTGAATTTCTCCATAAATTTCGCACCATATTTTACAAAAATTAATATTTAAGCATAATTTGAGTCATAGAATCAAAATATATAAAAAAAATGGTATGTTATTTCAGAAAATGTCCGATTTTGTGTCAAAATACCTATGTTAGAATAGTGCTATATATGAATCTAATGTATATATCCTAAGTCGCGTTTTCGAGACATGAAGAACGCAATTTGAATTTCATCAATCAGCCCAGTAGAACAGAAGATATAGAACTGTCCCTCCTTTTTTTTTTTTTTTTTTTTTTGCAGGGTACATCTTGTTATAATTCAAAATTATAATTGTAATTCAAAGAAATAGGATGGTAGAGCGTCCTCTATAGATTTTAGCAGTATAGATAACTGTCTACAGAGGCATCTCTTCTAGACAGAAAGCTGTCATGTGCTTTGCCATAATAAAAATAATTTGATCTGGCAAGGAACAGTCCAGTTCATTGAAAATAATCCATCCAGATAAAGAAGTTCTTTTTTGTATAAGGAAGAATGATATAATGTTTATGATAAAGATAATCTAATTCAGACTTTTTATTTATAAGATTAATTCAAAATAAAGAATAACTTTTACACCTTTTTCTAGGTAGCAGCAGATAAGGCTTTCCCCTCTATTTTTGTATCTTGTAATAGATCTGTTTATGGATAATATAATCAATAGAATTATCTAAAGATGAAAACTGTAATTTAGATTTTATTCTAATGATGAAAACTGTAATTTAGAAACAAATAATGATTCTTAGTGTTTTTATTTTTATTTATTAATTTATTTGAATATCCTGCTTGATGTAATTTTTAAATATCCTCGTCTTTCAACCTTAGTTTAACCATACTTGTGCTTATTATTTGTATTTGTATAATTTTGACTATTATTTAAATGAAAGAAAAAGTAATTTATCTAAGAATTTGAGTGCAGTGTACATAAATGATTCATGATATTTATTATATTTGATTTATATATTTTTGTATTTTCATAGTTTTCAGTTATTGGAGACCAGGTGATGGCTGATGATTTTCCTCATTTGATGTTTACTGGAAATTCCACACAAATTAAAGTGATTTTGGATCACCTTCATTCTAATTCTTCAAAAACACGATATAGCCTAGAATTTATTGTGCTCTCTCCACAGTCTGGAGACTGTTCTTCTAATCAGTGGCGGAGTCACGTTAAGAAGGCTATAAGTGATGAACATTCTCCTGGAATTTTTTCAGTAATATAATAGTTTATATTATCTCTTTGTAATTGAAGTCTCGTGTCATACATGCAGCCATTCTAGATATATATAAAAATTGCTGAAATTATACTTTTGTATTTATGAATAATGTATTAAGGTTTTAATTGATTCAAGTAATAATGCTGCTATTCTTAATAAATTAATTTATAAGTGATAAAAAGTAAAATAATAGTCGTATTGCTTTTAGACAATTTAAGCATTTTATTTTCATCACACGTTTAAAAAATTTTTAGCTTTGCTGCTCATGTTCTCCTCCCCATTTAGCATAAATAAATGATTAAAAAGTCATTTAAAAAAGTTTCTTTGATTAGTATAAAAAAAAGGCCTAAGAGAAATACTCCTTGGGTAAAAGTATATTTACGGGTACCCCTTGGCGAGAATTGGCAATTTTTGGCAGCACATGGATGCCGAGTTAGTGCAATTCTTTGACTTGTTATTTTGGCTTTGTGTAGTGCCAATTTTAGTGCTAAAAATCGCCACTACACAAAGACAAAATAATAAGTGAAAGAATTGCACAAACTCGGTATACATGTACACACTGACCTATTTTCACTTTAAAAAAAAAAAAAAAAAACACACAGAATTGCACAAACTAGGCATTGTGCACTCCCGTGACTTTGTCCATGTACACATCGATATATTTTCACTTAAAAAGTCAAAGGAGCACCCAATTCTAGGTAAAAGTATATTTACGGAACATTCAATTACTCAGGTTACCATAAATGAAACAACAACTTGACGATAAACGAAACAACAACTTGGGGATAAATGAAACAAGGACTTTGCGATAATACAAGGTTTACCCTTCAGTCTACTCTAACCACTCATTGCATATGAAAAATGAGTTAGTCTATATTTTAGGGTGCCCCTTGGTTTATCACCAAGTTGTTGTTTCGTTTATGGTAACTTGAGTAGTTGAATATTATAGAAACCGAGTTATGATGTGATTGGTTGCTTGATTGCAGTGAACTTGACCTGATGGGAAAATATTTGTAATGGCTTATTTATGTGTTGGATGTTGGTTAGGAAGTATGTTGCTTATTTTGTGCTTTACGCTGTAAAATGCCTGCTGGTGGTACAATTAACCTAATGTTTCTGTACACTTTAGAACAAAAATGGGAAAGAAAACAGTGATTGACTGGTGTGTAAATGAAGATTTAAATGGCTTTGTTCACCTCTCAGTAAATTATGTAGTGAGATTTAAGGAATTCGAAACCATAGCTCATGTCAGCACTTCGGAAGGTCTGTGGGGTGTAATAAAAACGGGTTTTTGAAAGAAATGCTACCGACAGTCTGGCAGTATGGAGGATATTTTTCATTTTTACTTTTTTTAATTAATGTGGCAACGGCAGTATACATATTCTAATTTAGATGAATTTAAACAGTTTTTGGATGCTGTTAAGGAATTCTGTGTGTCTCTCATACCGATGAAACAGAAATTTTTAAATAAGTCAATATGTCCTTTTTGTATTGTGTAGATTCCATAACATGTATTTCCATTCTTATGTTATTTTCTTATTTTATTTAAAGTGCAGTTTATTGAGATTATATAGTTTTTGTTTTAATTATGTTTTGGATGCCATTTTATTGGGGAGGGTGTTGGACGTAAACAGGAATGGTGGCAAAAAATCACCAATTTTTTGGCAGGGAGGAACATAAAATATATTTTTACCGAAAAATGCAATGTTTGTTAAGGAGAAGAAGCAGACCACTCTAAAATGCTTGTAGGGAACGAAATTAAAGGAGGAAAAATTAATTAAGAAACTTTTGAAGTATTGTAAATATTTTTTGAAAAAGTCTAGACATATTTGTAATTTATCCAACAATATATATTAAAGTTAAATAATTATTAAATTTTGAAAAAGGTGGGTTATCAAAAGTGTTGAATAAGTTTTCAAATTAAATGTAATGTTTATAAATGTATATAACAGTTTCTTTTGAAAGTTTCATTCATAGTCATTTTTGAATTTATTTTTCTATGTTAGGCTAATTAAAATTTTATCTGATGTGCTGTAATATACATGTAAGTAAATGTTGATGTAAAAATTTTGTTTTAAATATCATGTAGAATATTAAAGTGCTCTTGAAACAAAATATATAAGCTTTACATATTTTTAAAATTGCATATACAATTTCTACTCTCTGTATATGCATTAAAATTGCATATACAGAAAGTAGAAAACATGCTATATTTATACAAATTCGTCTATTTTGCTTGTCTGGTGTTTCATTATTATAAAATTCATTATTTTCATTATTATAATATTCATTATTTTCATTATTATATTATTCATTTAGATTCCTCAACGTTATTCTTTACAGTCTATATTTTTTAAATAATTGGAGGGATTTTGAAATAAACTTTCATATTGTGAGAGTTTGGAAAATTATCTGTTACTTAGAGAACTATATTTCGAGGGGAAAAAAGGATGTGTGCTCAAAAAGGTCAGGTTTAAGACTTCTGCATTTCAAATGACATTTAATCAATTTGTTTTAGAAAAAAGGGCCTAATGTTACATCCCAAATTAAATTTTTTCTTAAGAAACCACTATGATGTATGCAATGTAGTCGGTAATATAAGAAATGACTAAATGCCTTCCGGAAAAAGTTAAATTACTGTTAATGTAAATACATACTTGTATGTGTGTGTAAATTACTAAAAGAAAAATACTCAAATCGAATTTTTTATAGCGAGAAATATATATTCATATATATAAAATAAGAGGAAAAAATCAATAAAGTTTTAGTAACAAATGTTTAACTTACATATATTTGTTGGAATGTTCTGGGTGTTTTCTTCAAAATGAAAGACCTTTTTATAATAAATCTTATAATGAACACACATTCTATTTAAGATGATAACATCTGACATGATCACTTACACGATACACTGATGTATTGCAAATACAGTGTGAAACTAAAAATGACATAATTCCAATGTGTCTTCCATCAGCTCAGCTCCAAATTAAGCTAACGTTATATAACAGTCTGCAGACAGTAAGTCTTTGAAATTTGTTACAGTGGTACCGGCAGTAGATTTGAAGAACCTATAGATCTCAAATAATCTAGAACTAATTTGAAAATTTTTCCTAAGTTTTCAAATTACTCAAACAGAAATACAAGCCAGTAATCAGTATAACTCTTTAAACCTGTAATCATATACAGTCAAAAGTCGTTAATTCGGACACCCATAACCCGGACCTCAAAGCTACAAACTTTCTGCGCATGCGTCGCGTTGACGCATAAGACCTTTACGGCTGCGAATATGCGTGTGCGCGTGTGCAAAATACGTTTATGAATGTGCATTTAATGTATAACGGACGGTATAAGCTAAGCTAAAGTTATCTAATTCAGTTAATGTTGCAGATTGCGTTGTTCCTTAATCTTCGAATTGGATTCGGCTTATTATTTTTTGCAGACTGTTAGAGCAATTTTATAAAAGTAAGCTTGAACTTTCAATTATGTCAAATAGAATTTCTGATATATTTACTAATATGTAAAGGATCTACAAAGCGAAAGTATGTTTCGAAGTCCATTAAACAAAAAGTGGAATTGCTGCAAAAAATAGATAAAGGCATATCCTTTGTTTATCTAAACTTTAATGTTTGTTTATCTAAACTTTGTTTATATTTAATGCCGTGGTGCGCAATGAATTGGAAGTTGATTTGTCAGCACTATCCTTATCTTCAGGGCAGATGTTTTTATTTTATTTGGCTTATAATTCCTTACTAAATGTAGTATTTCATCTCGATGTACTCCGTCTTTGATTTGATTTAAATCAAATTCCTCGTCATTATCGCTCCTCGTCGCTTCCGATAGCGAAGAAAGTGACAGAGGTTATTGAAAACGAAAAAATTTCGATTGACAAATTAGTCGGTATTCTCGACACAGCAATTATAGGACTTGAACAGCGGAACTTTGTAACTGAACAAGAAATTATGTCTGTTTATAGAATTAAAGAGAAAGTATTATCACATAAAAAACGAAGCAACTTAAACAAACTTACATTGAAAGAAATGTTTAATAAAGTAAAAAAAAAATATTAATGCTTTTTTTTTTTGTAAATTTTTATACCCTTTAGATCATAATTGTTCTTTATTTCATATATAACGGTTTCATATTTTTAATTTTATAATTTCTGCATGCCATCTTACCAGATTTAAACTGATGATCTATAATCCGGAAAAATCAATAATCCGGAATCGCCGAAGTCCCGACAAGTCCGGATTAACGACTTTTGACTGTGATACTTAGCTTCTTTCTTTTTCAATAAAAGTAATGCCCAATCTTGCTGCCTAAAAAAAAAAAAAAAAAAAAAAAAAAGTCAAAACTATACCATTTGAAAGAAAAAAAAGGGGGAGGAATGCAAGATTGCAAGTAAGTATTGCTGCAGAATTTTATTCCTATCATTCCATCTTATTTTAGGAAAGGTACCCTATAAATGCATGTTTGACAGCATTTTAATGCAAGTAAAACTTCTTACCATTGGAAAGTATCAAAGCATTTTTAAGAAGTATATTTTGCTTCTAATAGTTTACTTATTGCACTTAAAAAAATTGAATTATTAGTTAACTTATTGTTCGTATTAACACTAAACTCCCTCTTTATAATATTTGTTATGTATGATTATATATGATTTTGTTAATATCTGAAAAAACCTTTTTAGGTTTTAATAAAATTAAAGAAGGAAACATTAAATATGAAAGTTAATTAAGAAACTTTTGAAGTACTGTAGATACATGTTAAAAAGTTTAGAAGTAATTGTGATTTATCCATTGATATATATTATATATATATAAGTTAAATTCTAATATATATATAGTATTATGTAAAAATAAACAAAACAATTTTTTAAAAAAATATAATATAATCATGCTTAGTATTTTCGTGCATTGAACAGGTGAAAAATTATCTGTAAAGATATAAAATAAAAAATTTAGAACCAATTTTTACAAAAATTGAAATTCAAAAGTAATAAATTTCAAATAATCCTATAAATACAAAAAAGAATTTAATAAAGGTTAAAACCAAAACACTTCAAACAAGTAACACCTCAATTTAAAAAATTGACGAAATTTAAAGAAAAAAGAACACAATTGAAGAAGAATTCAGTCAACTTCAACGTCACTCTGTCAGGAGGAGAAACACTGAAATCTCTCTTCCACAAAAATACTTGAGGAATACTAAAATCAATTGAAATCTATCTTCCACAAAAATATTGCTTTTCTGTGTCCAGAATTAGCCGACGGACCATTCCAATGCATTTTAATTATAACAATTCACCCGAAAATTCTGTCCCCTCCCCCAAGCAAAGAAAAAACAAAGTAAATCCTAATTAAAATTTTTTACCTTTACACAAAGAGAACTCTATTAAAAGAATTGAAAAAGTTAAGTGAAATAATAAAATACTTTAATGAAAAATTCAAATCAAAATATTATATTTAAACACTTGATCCAAACAGAATTGAATGAAGTCTTTTCACTAAAGTTTTATAATTTCATTTACGTTTTCAATTTGGATAATGGTCTCTTTGTTTAAAGGTAAAATTTTGATTTGAATTTTTCGCTAAAGTATTTTATTATTTCACATACGTCTTTAATTCTTTTAATTCTTTATTTAGTAAAAACTTTTGATTAGAATTTACTTTGTTTTTTTCCTTGCTTTGAGGAGGAGCCAGAATTTTCAGGTGAACTATTATAATTAAAATACATTGGAATAGTTCATTGGCTAATTCTGGATAAAGAAAAGCAAGGATTTTTGTGGAAGAGAGATTTCAATGTTCCTCTTCCTGACGAAGTGGCACTGAAGCTGATTGAATTCCTCTTATGTTCTTTTTTTTAAAAAAAATTCATTGATTTTTTTGAATTGTTTGAAGTGTTTTGATTTTAACCTTTATTAAATTCTTTTTTTGCATTTATAGTATAATTTGAAATTTATTACTTATGAATTTCAGTTGTTGGTCTTTATGAAAATTGGTGCTGAAAATTTTTTACTTTTTGTCTTTGCATATATAATATTATATATAATTATAAAATATATATAATATATATAATTATAAATTATAATTATATATATGAATTAAATAATATAACATGTATGTTAAATAATTATGAAATTTTGAAAAAAATTGCGCTATTGAAAAGTGTTGAATAAGTTTTGAAATTAAATGTAATTTTTGTAAATGCATGTAACAGTTTCTTTTGAAAGTTTTGTTCATAGTCCTTTTGAACTTATTTTTCTATGAAATATACAGTTAGGCTAATTAAATTTTTACAGAAGGGATCGTCTAAATATTTTAGTGTGAAATACAGTTTTGAATTTTTGTTTAATCAAATTTGGACGCAACAACAATTCTTTGACAAATTTGGACATTCTTTACATGTTTAATGTTTAAAAACGTTAAACATGTAAAGAATTTGAAGCAGAGAAATATAAGATTATTCAAATTTTTTGAATAATTTTAAATATTAAAAATGATTAAGTATGAGACGTATTCGGAAACTAAGTACCGTTTTGAAAAAAAAAAAAAAAAAAAGGTAAAACAATTTTTTTTTAATCCAATTTTATTTTTACATGAAAATACATGCCTTAAACTATTTTTCAACATAGTTTCTGCCAGCGATCAAACACTTGTCATAGCAGGTGACCAGTTTTTGTATACCATCGTCAAAGAAACTTCCGGCCAGTTTTGATAACTACGACTCCACAGCATTTTTCAAGCGGTCAGACACAATTTCGAACAAAACAGTACGTGAAATTTGTGGAAATGCCTTTGAAAGAGTTGTCATTGTGAAGCGTCTGTTCTCATGAATTGCTTCATCAACTTTCCTTACCAAATCATCGGTGACAACAGAAGGCCGATCACTCCGAGCCTCGGTGTGGACATTTGTTCGACCTGCATTAAACATTCTTACCCACTTTCTCACCATTCCATCACTTATCGCGTATTCACCGTAAACTTCTGTCACTTGACGATAAATTTCGGCCGGTTTAACATTCTTCGCGTTCAAACGTCATGAATCTCACAGTCTGCGGGAGAACTAATTGTCTTAAACATTTTGAATGTGCACAGCAAACTGAAAACACAACATAGCGCAACCAAAATGGCAACAATTGAAAGTCAGTGAACAAGAAAGACTAGTGCGCATGCGCAGGACGCCTACCACAGCGCTGCGACGGCGCTATAATGAAACGGTACTTAGTTTCCGAATGCGCTATGTATTAAAAATATTATTGCTTTAAATATTTTGAAAATGAATCTAATTATTGGTTATGCATAAAATGAAATATAAATATAAGATGAAACATTTATAAATGATTTTTTTATTTATTTATATATTTATTTTAATTTTAGGACATTACACTTTCTCCTGTGTGTACCAAGAAAAATGATCATTCTTTCATCTCTTGGCGTCCTGTTTCTTATACTGACAAAACATCCTCAATAGAAGCTTCTTCAGATGTTAAAATAACTTCAGATATTAAACCACATGCCATCACTTCTGTTCGAAGCATCGCTGAATTATATTTTGGGGGAAAGCCCAATATGTCAATTAATGCTTTCAATATAACATTTGGAACAGTTGGAGATGGGTTTTATCGAAAAACAGAATACACAGCATGGTATGTAAAATTTATTTAATCTTTTTCCGAGTTTTATATGTAATAATATGTGTAAACACTTAGTCTTTCTCTTTATACTTCTGTAGTATGTTTGGAGGTAGTAGTGGCTACAAGCTTTATTTCCGTAAATATTGATTCCAGGCATGCATTTCAAATTGCAAATTCTCTTAAAATAAGGTAGAGACTTTTGTGAAACACTCTTTATAACCAGAAGACTTCTGTTAAAATTTTTATACAGTAGAAGTCCAGAAATCCACAAAGCTTGGGACCAGAGATTGTGCAGATTTTAGGATTTTGCTGATTTCAGGACAGAGAAGATAAAGTATAATATTCGGACTGAAAGTGCAAAATAAAAAAAGGTGTATTAGATACATTTAATTAAATTATTATATACATTATTGCAGTAATTTATTATATGCATTAAATTATTATTACACATATAAATTGATTGTATTATTCATTGTATTATATGTACACAGCATCGAGGTTTGCCAATTTTGCCTCATGCAAAGATTTCGGATTCCGGTGTTAGAATCACTGTTGCTGTAAAATTTCAACAGCTTTTCTTTATTTTTCTGTATATCATACACAATCGTGTCGCAATTCATACCATTCTGCTAATAATCGAGAAAGAAGCGCCTGCCTCCATCTTTTGCATAATTTGCACTTTTTGCATTAGTGTCAATGCAACGTGTTTACGTTTTTCAACGTTACAAGCAGTAACATCATAAGTGCGTTTCTTATCTGTCATTGTATTAAAAAGGGCTGAAATGTAAAATATTCTTAATTTATCCACAAAATATCTGGATAAAAAAAAATGGCAGCGCTAAACAATTTTGTGAAATAACAAAGCTAAAAAAATACAACAAAGAGTTGAGTGAATCATCTGCTTTTTTTACCTCGATGCAGATTATAGGGGAAAAACTTTTACCTTATTTATTATATCTTATTTTTTAAAACTTTTTTATGTCAGTAATTTGGTATTTCCGTTATGACTCGTTATTATTTAGTAATTATGACGTCATTATTTGTTAAGTATTTTTTATTCGATATTTCGTACTCAATGTTGCAGTTTCCAGAACCAAATGTTTATATTTTGAGAGGCGTCACAGATTTCAGGTTGGCGAATTTATGGTATTTTAGTGTATAATTCCCATGTAACAAAAGTTCTAATTAATTAAATATTTGTTATCCTTGAGTTAGTTAAAACATTTAACAAATAGGTTTATGTGTAAAATTTGCAGTTAGATTAAAACACTTTCGTACCTTTATGTGTAAATTAACCCTTTCAGGACAGGCGTCCCATTATGTTGTAGTTGCTTCCTTAACCCGGCGGAAGGCGCGTCAAGAAAAGTTACTTGAGCGGGTGCGTGGGGTATCATATACCCCAATATTTAAAATATGTTTTAAAAAACGTTTTATTTAGTTTTAAACCAGTTTTGTCATTTATTATACGTGAATAAACCTTGGGTTACAAAAAATTAATTTCCAGTATTAAGCTTATAGAGTTAAAATAAAAATAAATGAAAATAATAACAAAATAAACATCCTACCTCTCAATCTATTTTTTGCATCTTTGATACACAATGCTTATTTTATCTGTTTACACTTTGAACAAAATACATTAATATGTTCTTGGCACAGAAAGATTTCACATTTTGAACATCACATTCATGTTTTTCTATCCTTAGCTCGAGGACATTCATCACGTTTTATATTTAGATATTTCGAATTTCATAGATTCGTTTGAATTATTCATAGAAACTTCTGCTCTTCTTTTGCACGCCGTACGTAAATTTCTCGTTAGCGTATTAATCTCTGATCTTTGTTCAATACGATTTTTAATTAGTTCTAATGCTAAGTCCTTCAAAAACAGACGTCTGCTTCTATATCTGGTTGGTGGATTAGCAGTTGATAGCAATATGATTCAAGCATTTATTGGAGCAATATTCAGTGAAGAAAAAAAAAGTACCATTGGCCATCTCCTTGTTATTCTGGCAACTGAATAACTTGCTGCCATTTCATCTACCGTATCCACTGCTCCCTTAGTCATATTATAAAAACATAACATTTCTGGGTTTTTCTTTTCTCCATCTATACCATCATCGTTATGTAATGTTGAAAGCATAAGAACAGTTTTTCCTTTTTTAGGAACATAAGAAATTAATGTTTTATCTTTTTCAAAACCAAAAAGTGTAGAAAATATTTCCCTTCCCTTAGAAGTAACAAAAGTAGGAGGAATTTCCCTTTTGTTTTTCCGTATTGTTCCTACTATTGTCAGCTTTTCTTTTAGAAGATCTGCAGCTAGTGGGTAACTCGTATACCAGTTATCTGTAGTAATATTTCTGCCAGATTTATACAGTGGTTGAATTAATCTTTTCACAACATCAGATGGACTGGTACTGACCTTGAAGGGACCATCTGGCTGTGTACCGCAGTATATTTCCATATTAGAAGTATAAAAAGTTCTTGAGTCTACCAGTGCAAAAATCTTGATTCCGTATTTTGCTGGTTTGTTTGGCATATATTGGCAGAACCCACATCGGCCCCGAAAGGGTTCAAGTTTCTCATCAATAGTGACGTACTCACCTAAATTATAGGAATCTTTGCAATTTGAAATAAATTTTTCAAAGAAATCTCTAATTGCGGCTAATTTATCAAAGTGTTTTCTCTGTGGCCTGTCTAGCAATTTATCGAAACGCATGCAACGTAAAAGAAATAAAAATCGCTTATAAAGCATTGTTGTGTGAAAAAATTTCAATACCTTACCGTCAGTAGCCCAAAGGTCCTTTACGTTGAGATGCGAACGACTTGTGAAGGCCACATAAATATAAAAGTCCTATAACTGCTCTTATCTCGACCACGTCCGTAGCTTTCGCATCTCTTTCACGTTTATAATTTAAAACTATCTCAGAAATATATAAATCCATATATTCTACAATCATTGACAATATACTATTATCAATAAGAATATTCCAACTACTAAAGGGATCAGTAACATTTCTGGCTTCTCTTACAGGTCCTGGAAGATGAGTCATAATATTATGTGCACGAACTCTTACATTTTGTGTAAATTTCTTTTTTTTCCACACTGTTTTTCCATCTTTTCCAACAAAATCATCAGAAACATCATCATCTTTAGCATCATCCAGTTCATCATCTTCTTCTGTATCTGTGTTATGTTCGCTAAATATTTCACAGTCAGTATCACTTTCAATTTCCGAAATGCAATCTTCATCACTTTCAACTGTTTCTAATAAATCTCGCAGCCATTGCATCTCCAATTCATAGGGACTCATTCTTTTTGCCATAATACACTAAAAAATCTTTAAATAATGTTAGCTACTTTAAAATTCCTTGCGAGTAGAAATATTTATTGTTTTTCTCTAGAATTTAATTTCTGAAACAAATATTCCGTCAGAAAAAAAATTACGTGGACAGGCGCGTGGGGTGTGTCATACCCCAGTTCCAACAAATACCAATAAATATTTTTCTGAAACACAGATGCAACAGTAAACCAGGTCTGAAGGTCATACACTACTAGAAACTCAGCTACTGAAAAGGACACAAAATTTCCGGTTTCACAAGTTAGGAATATTCCACTGTTTAGCAGGGGTGGGGTATACTACACCCCACGCGCCTTCCCGCGGTTAATCTGTTTGAGCTATTAAGTCAAAATTGACATGGAGAAATGATACATGTCAGTGAATTCCATTGAGTGAATTTTCATCCTTACATGTGAAGCATTTAGCTTTTTGATTAATTAAAGCTAAATGTTAATTAGTTATAAGGTATTTCTTCCACCTTCTTAGCATGCCATTGTGGTGTAGTCAGCACGTTCGATGCATATTTGAGAGTGGCGCCCAAACTAAAAATGGTGGTGGATGAGGATTTTTCACCACCAGGATGTCCCCTAATCCCCAATCGCCCTTCAAAAAGGGGAGTAAATAAGGTATTTCTTTCATCGCCTTAGCATGCTTTTATGGTATAGTGGTCAGCACACCCAAAGCGTATTCGAGAGGTCCGTGGTTTAAGTCCTGGCGAGGGCATTGAACATTTTTCATGTCTCTTACTTGGAAATAACCTGATGCCTGTACGTAGTGAATATTTTACCAGCTGGCATTTTTTGCTTTGCAAGGTCATGTAAAATATATGTTTTGTTTTTATAGAACCTTTTTAGCAGTAGTATTGAGGCTGTTTTTATAAAATTAACCATCTTAATATTTAAATAAATAAATTGTTTTACATACTGAATTTGAATGTTTGTGGAACTAAAATCCTAATAGTGATCACCATCTCTTGTTTTCCTTGCCATTGGGTAGGGTTATCTTGGAATTCAGGTTTCTAAAGATTCTTTTGGGCTTGGATTGTTATACATTTAAAAATGGCTGCTCATATATATATGTGCATGATAAAAATTTAGAGTAAGCTGCAATGGAATGACGATGGTTCTCAGCATTTATAACTTGGAGAGTCTGCTGCATAATTAGAAAGATGATCCTAGAAGGAGAGACTTGTAGACAGATGTAGCCAAACTGAGTATAATCTTTATTGCTGGACACAAACTAATTATCAAAACTATATTTTTCATTATATGTGAAAATTAGCACAATATGCACACCACAGTTTTATATAGAGTATCACATTTTAAATAATGGCATAGCTAGCAGCATTTTAAAGCACAGGGAAATGAAATAGCGTCCAAGTGGCAACAGAGCTGCAAGCTAACTGTACATTTATCCAATCTGGAAGTCTATTAAGAGAAAGGTTTTAAGTTAAAAGGTTTCAGTTCTAAGAATTCAGGTTCCCAAATAACTACGTCGTCAGCATTGCGCAGGCCATGCAAGGTGGATTGATCTAGAAATGACAGAATCCAGAAGAGTTATTATGATTTCTAGAATAGAGACGAAGTAAGGGGTTACCGTTAGTTAAAATTATAATTTTTTTACATAGTTTTTACCTTACACACACAACACAAACATTTATATATCAGTAAAAAC